CACGGACTTTTCCTATTATTAAATTTTCCTTCTGTCATTATCAAAGTTCGAAAAAAAAAGAGGAAAATGAGATAGAAGCGAGAGAGATATAAATACATTCTTGTATCGGCATCATTACTCGACGGTTTTTCGTGCGCGTGTTAGCGCGTAAATTACCAAGATCCAGATTTATCCGGAAATAATCCACCGTGCGTAGTTGACTACACCAAAGTCAAACTTGACAATAATTTTTTTTTCTCCCCCTCGCACTTGTCAACGTTACTTTGTTATGTGTGCGTATATTTATCAATGCGCACACCCACACATCGATGTGTACACAATATGTGACAGTTGTTTGCTTTGAAGCTAAAACTCAGTTACCTTTTTCGAATCGACATCACTTTCAAGGACCCGTAAATATATTTGTATTGCAAAAATGCGTTATGTGCAAGCACGAATTATTTTGTTTTTTTGTTTTTTAATGCACGATAAAGGGGGAGAGAAAAAAGTAATAGCTATGAATTTGACAACTGAAATCCACGATGCGAATGTAAACTCACGTACTTCATTTGAAAAATTTTAATAAAAATGTCGATTTGTTATCAGAGTTGATAGTTCGAAATTATTATTTTTGGATTATTTGAACGAGTCAAAACACGTTAAAAGTTCTTGACAGAAACTTAATCTCATGAATAACTCGTAAATCGCTAAACAATATTTTGACAGTATATTCCACCGAGATTCTATCGAAAAACTTTATCCAAATTGAAAATAAAAAAAAAGGTGGGTGAAGAGAGAAAGAGTAAACATTACCTGCTGCGCGTAGGAAATGTTCGTATAAAAATCGCCGGGGAGGAGGGCAGGGGGTGAAAGAAGTTTGAAAAAAAATCTATAAGTAGGTTTTTTTACGTCGAACTTTATTAAAAGTTAACGCGTTAAAGTTTGAAGAAAAGAGAAAAATCGATTCCTCGTCGCTGCGTATGCATAAAACTCGAATGCACACGAATTCGTTTATGCATGGTGTTTTTTTTGCTGGGCGTAAGCCGAATAATACTTGTGTGTGTTTCCTTTGAACATTGCCGACCCATTAAATTTCAGTTATATGTAAAAACAACAACAACAACAACTCCTACTACTGCTAGCTAAAGCTGCCTCGTTTAGCGTCAACGCGAAACGCATAAAAAAAATTCCCGAAGCTTTCTATCTCTCTCTCTCTCTCTCTCTCTCTCAATTGCGTGTGTAGCCTAGCAGCAGCATAAGCTTTCCTTTTATTTTCGACGCGCGTCGTGTTTTTGCTCGACACAACGAACCGCTGTTGCTGCAAGCTCGGAACTTATATTTTTATAACCGCAAGCGGGCCGCTGCTAGGTATGAAAAATCCATTTATAGCACATTAGCGCGTTGAATTAAAAGGCATAAATAGTAGTAGGCGGCGCAGTGCAGCCATTGCCGCTCGTTGCGTTAATTACGATAAGCTCGCGATCGGATTGAATTAGTTCGACTTGCGCACACATACACACGTACGTACGTAGGTATATATGGAACATTGGTAATTCCGTGCTCGAGCGAGGGCTAGAGGATATAAGTTTTATACACATAGTCGAGGCGCGCGTTTAATACGTGCGAGGCTTAAACGAGCGATATAATGGCGAATGTACACGCGGTGGCGGAGTTTCCGACTGCTCGATCGGTCCTGTATAATAGAGGCCCTCGTTCCTCGTTGCCCTTTTTGTACATTGTATTATAGGTCACACGCAGCTACATTATAGCCGATAACACACACATATAGGCAGCTACGCGCAAACTGTAACGCGCGGGCGTATATATATGAAAGCCTGCGCCATCGAACATGTGCTTTTCACACGTGGGATGATATATCTTGCTGCCTCGAGAGAGATCCCGCACGTATATGGCTACTCGCACTAGTGCGCAGCGTAGCTCGTGCACGCATCTGTACGTACGCATGCAGATTATATATATGTAGGGTCGAGTGCGTGTGCGTACGTGTATAGGAGAGAGCAGCCTGGCAGCGCTGGTCTCGCGCGCGTACATCGCGACGATCGATAAAACGAGGCGATACGCATACACCGACTCTGTAGCTCTCTCTCTATCTTTATATACGCGCGCACGCACACACACGTCCAGCTCGCACATGCATTATCGTACACACGTATTAAATTGATATCTATTTACATATTATAATTTAGATGCATTTATCGCGTAATTTCATCTGCTGTTTCGGCGAATACGTGTACATACGCGCGCAAAATTATTCGATTTTACACCCAGGCTTTGATAAAAGCGATCCGCAAGCTCTGCGTCATTTACACGTTGCGAATGTGTGTCTGTGTATACACACTTACACGTTTCATATGCTTTTGCGTCTTTATAATCATTTTTATCGGCCTCTCGTATAGTCACGAGCACTAGCCTCGCACACATTCGCGTGTACAACGTGTATGTACGCGAGCTTGCATCGACATATTTTTATATCGCACTTCTGCGTCGACGCTACATCTACGTATAGCGCATGCAGCAGCTAGCACGGGCATCGTGTCGTGGTATGCCTTGTTGTTTTTTTCTACGATAATACACGTATAATAGTACACGGCGTGTAATAATGACGATAAAAAATCAATAATACATTGTTTTACGCTGTATGCGACGTGGTTTAAGGGAATGTCCGTGAAGATCCGAGCACGACAAAAAGTCGAGCTTTTTTTGACGTTCGCAGCGACGACGAGCGTGAAAAAAGTTTCACCTAGCGCAGACCCTCGTGTGCCACTGTGTGCCCTGTGCACCGCCACCGTCGCGCGCGCGCTAACAAAGTCTTTCATTATTTACGCGCGCGAAGCGTGTGGAGGATCAAGCGCCGCTACGCGCACAACACTCGCATCTTCGCGCGCTCTACACTCGTTTCGTATGCGAGTATAGCAGTAGCAGCAGCGACTCGTCCCGTCTGCTCTTTTTCGTACACATTTACAACCCGTATAGCGTATATAGTTGCTGCGTTCGCAGTGCAGCTCGGAGCAGGTTAATCCTCGCTGCATTTTCAGATGGTTGTCGGGATAGCAATGCGCGTGCGGGAGAGAGAGAAAGAGAGAGAGAGAGAACGAGAGTCTAGAGGAAATCTAGAGTGGAGCCGAGAGAAAAATTCCTGCAAAGTGCAAAGTTCTATGCCGCAGCACCTCGAGAGAGAAAGAGCGACTGCGAGCGAGCGAAATAGAGGAAAACTCTCGAGTTTGTACAGACACAGAGTCGTCGTCGAGCGCGAGACTCGTGCCAGCAGCTCACTCGCTTCCTCTTTGTACAACTTACACCTATCCACTAGACAAGAGTGAGAGAGAGAGAGAGAGACAGAGCGAGCTTGCATAGTTATAAGCATGGAGCTATGCGACAAAAGCGAAAAAAAGCATATCTTGATGCCGCTACGCTGGTTAAAGGACTCGCGCGGGCGGCCCAGCAAAAGTATGTACTTCAGTACCGTATAAGGTATACATATATCCGTGAAAACTGCCAGAGCGAAGTACGAGCGGGACTGTATAAATTGGATTAAGTGCAATTACGTCGTTGTTGGCGAGCTGCGCAAGCACACGAGAACACACATACACACAGACTAAAAGTCAGAATGAGGGACAGCGAGAGGAGAGCGATATTTTTATCCAAACGGACAAATTAACGCGTTAATTGTGTCGAGCTCGCGCGCGAGCTTTATTTGGGGATTATAAATACACGCCGACGTTGCTGCCGTTGCATGGTCCGGGCAAAAAGCAGCTCGCGCGCGCACACGAGAGATCCATGCGGCGGCGGCAGTGGTATACCTATCCTACGGCAGCGGCCCGTAAAGCTCCTCTGGAGCTTCCACCGAGTCAATTCGAGTATCGCGTTTTTGCTTATTCATAATCTGGTACGTAGGTCTTACTCCATTTCTCTCTCTTCCTCTTTCTTCTTATTTTATAATGATAATAATAACGATGATAAAAATATAACATGTTATATTGGCCTTGTTTACGTGTGCGCTTTTAGGCAATAAACATGTTTCATGCTACGGCTGCAGCTGCTACTGCTCTTCTTTAGCGCTTCTCCAGTGACGTCATATTTATCGAGCTATATCTCGCTGCACTATATACTATACCTATACATCGCTTCGTTATCGTTCACACATTTCTGCGATCTTCTCTTATAAAAAAAGTGATATTATAAAAATCAGCTTCTCTCTTTTTCTATCCGCTACTCGCGCGTATTGTGATTTCTTTCTTTCTTTTTCTGCGCTGACAGCAATCGACATTCTTCGATTCATCTCACGCTAGTATTTCCGTAATAACTTGGATGGATTTCGAGTAAATTATATATTTCAGTCACGCGAGATGACTTCTTATCGCAATATTTATTCGTTCAATTATTTACTTAGCTCTCAACCATCGTTAACATCGCAACCGGGGCCGATTGTATTATAAATGCAGATACGGTTGGCTGTATGTATTTTCTTCGGCACAGGTAAATCTCGAAGAAAAGAACGTGAGCTTTTCCTTGTGACTCACGTTTTATTACATTGTGTACGTCATATGCAATTTTTCGACGATACCTATCGACTAAAAGGCCTTTTATGCATACACGTCGAAGGAGCCAATATACGAAATGCACACAGAGTAATATGTGAAGAATAAAAACTCGGTGCAGAGTAAAACACCTCGCATATGATATATGTTATTCGAAAGTATGCGTACTTATGATAGGTTTATATATAGGTGCGTGTGTGGCGCCACGTTCCGCACTCATACACGCCGCGTTCGTGTATACATAGAGCTCGGCTCGGCGCACTCCACTCCGCAGTGAATCGAGTCAGCGTCCGCCCAGGCAACACCGCCGTCGCTGCCGCCACCACCGCCGCTGCCGCTCTGCCGCCGCCGTCACACCGTCACACCGTCACCGCGTAATTTTTTATACTTTTTTTTCGCTCGACTCGCGCTATTTTTTCTTTCTTTTTCTTTTTTTTCACTTCGTCATTACTCAACACTCACCTGTGTAATTTATTACGAGTTTTTGTCGTTGAATCCGCTGCTGCGGCCGTTGTTGGCGTACGAAGATCCCGAGGAGGCTTTATCCGCTGCACGAGGATGATTATTCGTCGTCTGATTTATCATCGCTCGCCTATCTGCACTTGTTTCGTGAATACAAAAAGGGATGAATTGACACTGATCAGCGTGATTTTCTCATTTTTTACTTTTCTCTTTTTTCATTCAGCACCACCATTGAGATAACATCACTCGTATACTCTTTTCGTATACTTTGGGCGCCGCACCACCCGTTTCAACATCATTCGAATCGCACGATATACATATACTGCACTCGACAACGATTTGTATTCTTCTCTTGCGAAGTGTTCACACGCACAGTCGGCAAAAAAATTTCCACGCCGCTACGAAACTCTTTCTTAATTAAAAACAAAAAGGGAAAAAAGGAAAAAATCGCGGAGCGAGCTGGGACAATTACTATTTGTTTTCGGTCAATTTTGTTCTTTTCTCGATCGCAAGAGAGACGGAGAAAGAGGGAAGAAGAGCGAGAGAGACACCACAGGCCACTGCGACGACGAAAATAGCGCTGATAGCGAGAGGCGATTAAAATTGTTGCGTTGTTGCATTAAAGAAGAGATCGAGGCTCCGTTTTCGCTCGAGCACGGAGCACCGCGCTACAACGTCTGCTGCTGCGGAAGTGTGGCAGCGGCGCGACACTGCTGCAATACGTGTATCATTATTATAATAATAACAATTACAATTATTATTATTCCAGCCAGCCAGAGCCAGAGAGCAGAGCGTATATTCGCACGCGAAAGCAGGAGTGCGCGCCTACGCCCGTATCTCAGCAACGCGATGACTGCAGCAGCACAGGCAGCCACCGTATCTTTTTGCCTTTCTCTCTCTCTCGCTCGTTCGCAATATAGGTATATGTATAATGTGCGCACACGTCGGTGCCGAGGCACAGGAGGGGTGAGTGTGAGCAAAGAGAGAGAGAGAGAGTTGAACGCGTTGCGCAGAGCAGGCGATGGGAGGCTGCGCGCCGTGACGTATCAGCCGGTTTTCGACGTCGACTACCCACAGCTCTAGTCACCCACCCACCCTCTATCTTTCTCACAAACCCCCCCTGCTGTAGCACGAGAATTTCATGCTGTATGCGAGAGTGAGAGAGACCAAGCACTGCGGATGGAGGCGCGCAGCATCATTTTTGCTAGAACTAAACTCGACGAGGGGATGCTGCAAGCTTGCTCGATGGTAAGAATGAGAGCTGACTGCCCGAACGATGTTCCTTGGAGATCGTTCGATTTCTCACCGATTTTCACCTGCTTTGCTCTATAGATCGGATATATGTTTCGTATACTCTTGGTTCTTGCGAGAATACCAGACCCGAGTAAATTTTCATTTGCCAGTTATCGAGATAGTTCATCGAGTATTGAAATAGAATAATTTTCGAACGTGATTAGGAATTATGAATTATAAGATGGTAAAATATGTGTACAGTGAATGAAAATTCAAGATCAATCATCTTTTTCAAAAAAGTTTCCTTTTGAATATAATTATGGATTTCAACAATTTTTTAATTAAAAAAGTCAGATCCATCTCATTCTCAACACTATACTATTTAAAATTTTAATTAAAAATCACGAAATAATTAATACTAATTAGCTTGTGTTTGATAAAAATGATGAAAGAGTAAATAAATATTAATGCATCATATTAAAATTATAATAAAAGAATTTTTAATTCATTTAATGATACATTCTCTACAGATTCCGTACAAAAAAAAACCATGATATATAATATATATTATATTATTCCGTGATATCAATAAAGATATTGATATGAATTAAAATATAAAAGCAATGATTAGTTACATAAAATAACTATAAAAAAAACTTCCAAACAAAAAGGAATTTCATTTGTATATCTTGATTATGGTCAACATTTAGAGAGTATAATTTTCAATTAAAAACTTTGTAAGTTCACTGACTCTTTTTCAACCTTCTATAAAGCAGGTGTACTATGTTCATCTTCTACATTTTATTTGGTAGTTAAAAATTCATGCATAAGAAGCTGCAATCTGATTCTGTGAAATTTAAAAATATTTTTCATTAAATACATAGAATTGAAAAAAAAAACTTTCAACTCACCATAATACTTCAAAACGTAGTTATGAATCTATTTCAATTAATTTTTATATGTGTTTTCAAATGTTTATTAAGAGATGCTTGATACCTGAAAAATTTTTAAAAATAACTCATCATCGTTACATAAATTAATCTCAATTTTTAATATTAGATAAAATTTGGGATTCTCACCGATATATTTTTGGACATAATTTACATTTATATTCCACAGCTTTTTTGCACCATGGTTTGTGGTTTTTATGAGCAGAACTTTTTTTGAATTTCATGTGACAAATTTCACATTCAACATCATATGGACCTAGAAGTACATAAAATTATTTTGTTGTGCTATATTTAGTAGAAAAATAATAATTTTCGTTACCTTTGTGAAAATCAGATATATGAGTTTTCAATAATCGTTTGGTTCTAAATGTTTGAAGACAATCATTGCATTCATACCTGAAAAAAATGAAATTATTAGATATATATTTTTTTACATAAAAAAATATTTTAAAAGTTTTTTTATCCGTACTTATCTAAAATTTTAAGTAATTTTGAAGCTGGCTTTGAGTTCTTTTTTTGGATACTAGATTTACGATTAATTCCATTAATCGTGTATTGATTGTTAATCTCATTGACTCTCTTTATTTTAATTTTGAGTGGATCAGAAAATAGCATCGGATTCATGTCTACAGAGTGATTTTCTGAAGTTTGACATCTGGTTTGAAAATCTACTCCCAGTAAATTAGATTTATCAGAAAAATTGAAAATAAAATTATTTGAGTTTCGATCATTTCTATCATCAACCGATTCCTGTTTAATGTTCATAGAAAGTTCTTCTAAAGATTTATTTTGAAATGGCTGGTAGGAAGCAAATGATGTTTTATTAGAATGATTAGTCTGCATAGAATTACTTTCTATATAATCACTTATAAAACCTCCAAACCGATTAAATTCGTTCAAACTGTCCAACAAAGTGCAAGTATTAGTTGTAAAAGTATTGCTCATATTTAATTGAGGTATTGAAGAAGCAGATGTAATTTTGTCATAATCAATGTCTAATTGAATATTTTTATAAGCAAATGATAAATCAAAAATAATCTCATCAATGAGGTCGTCATTGGATGTGTTGAATATATTTATTGTATCAAATCCTTGTTTCTGGGCTTGCAAAGATTTCTTTAAGAATTCTTCTTCAGCTGCCTCCTTAGATTGTGGAATTATTGAGTTCGTTAAAGAATTAATATCTTTACTTTTCATGGCTTGTTGCTTATTCGTGACAAAGTGATTGATAACTGTATCATCACTTTCAACTGTAGGACTTAACAATTTATCCATATTTGATTCAACTATTTTCTCCCTTGGTTCTATATACTCAAAATAGTTCACATCATTGAATCCCATATTTAATTCTTTAATTGAATTGCTTTTGACTGATGCAGGAGATTTTGTCAAAAGTGAAAAATTATTATTTTTTTGGCACATAACTGGCTTATTAGTTGGATCTACATTTCTAAAGATAGGACTTTCAAGAATAGATATCACAGGTTCATTTTTCTTCACTTCATTATTTATATTTTTGAATGAATTTCTATTCCCTTTCAAAATGCTGCTCATTTTAACATTAGCAAAAGGGTTTTTTTGATATTGAAACGAATAGTTTTCGTTGAGCTTTTTTTTTCTTTTATGATCATCAGAAGGCTCATAAGGACTTCCTTCATACAGTTCAACAAATGAATCTTCTTTGACAGAATAAACTTGTTTTCTTTTTCGCAAATGACTCTTATTTGTGGTTTCTGAATCAGATTTTACTATAACATCATAATTGAAAATTTCTTGACTATTCATATTATTATTTTTTGATTTATTATTTGGCAAGTACTGAAGCTCTGAAGAATTTACTACTAAATGATTTTTACTACTTTCAACAAAATCATTTTTCTGAATATTATTATGATTGATATCTTGAATATAGATATTGTCTCTTATACCACTGTAATTTTGGAGGTGCTCAACTTTTAGATAAGATGAATTTTGATCTGTACTCATAACTGTATTCAACACACTTTTGACACTGTTATTGCCTTTATATTCATCTTCAGGAAAGATATTATAACATTTACTTTGTTCATTTTTCTTTTCAATGTCAATAAATTTAATTGTTTCTTTAACAGGAGTATATGTAGAACCATCTTCATCACAACTTATATTTGAAGTCATTTCATAATCGTTGAACTCATCATCATCAAGATGTGTTGTAGAATCAACTGATAGTTTTTCATATTTTTCACAATGATTATCTTGATTTATTACATATATTATTCTGTCAGGCTGACTAGATATATTTGGATAGCTTTCTCCGTTATTTCCAATATTCTTAACAACTTGTTTAAATTTGGTTGAAGTGTCGAATACTGTACCTCCTCCATCACAAGCTAGTAAACTTCTGCACTTGTAATACATACAGTTGTTGTTCATGTTTAAATCTATTGAAAAGTAATTAATTAAAAATTGTTTAGATAAACATTTATATGAGCGAAATATTTTTAAAATAATCAAATAATGATTACCCAGGTTTGGAATCATTATTTATCGATTTTCCGAAGTTAGAGAATGTCAATTAAAATAAAATTCATTTGAAGATTTCATTTTTTTCGAGTTTATGGGAACATTTTTGTATACAAACAAACCCTCCCGAGTGCCGACGTGAAAATAAAACGAGCCCGACATAAACCATGCACGCACAAGGCTTTACTCGTTGCCAATCGTTATCGTTTGAATTTGACTATAGTCTTTTAATGCGTTATTGGAACGTTTAACGTAAAAATTTTTTAAAAATTTGGAATTTAATTCATATCTTTTATTCAAGTGTATACTGAACATAATAATTAACTCACCTTTAAACGACATGACTTCAATGAGTGTTTATGATCACCGTAAATCTGTAGATTACAATAGAGTAAATACAAAATCCTTTTTTACAATATCCCTTCGACCCATTACGCAGCTGAGTAAGTTAATTCATTTTTAAATAGGTAAATATTTATACTTGGATGGTTTGAAATATTTTAGAAACAACCGTGTGCATTTCTCTTTGAGAGATGCTAATTTACGAAACGTAATCTCAGTTCTTGCTTGTTGTGTCTTGGGCTCGCGCTGTGCACGCTGCCGGACTCTGCACGAGTGAAAACAAAAGACGACGATGACGGTCGACGCGCGCCAATAAAGTGCACGAACAAGCACAGGGAGATAATAACATTGAAGTGTAAACACTGTGGAGTCTGCGACATGAGATTATAATGTGTAAGGATTATATGTATACGGTTCCCGGTCCCATACACGATGACGCTATACAAATTGGTTTTAAATTCCAAATTCGTATCCGTCTTCTTTAGCTAATTTTGACGATGTTAACGATAAAGATGCAATGTCAACTAGTTTTAAGATGTTAGTTTTCCAATGATACTGGTACGATCTGCTTTTGGTGTGAATTATGCAGTTGGTTTTATTAAAAATTTCAGTGAAAAAATATTTGTTTTTGTATATAATCAAGTGTTTATTGTCAGACGTGATTCAGTAAAAATCGATTGCGTTTTGAGATATATCTTCAATTTCATTGACTCGAATATTGTTGTAAATACATTTTTAAAAAACATAAACAAAACATAGAGAAGCACTTATTTTGGGTTACACAATGATGATATAATACTTTTTAAAGTGCATTATGTTAACAATGTTTTTAAAACTAATTTGAAGCAATAATTATGTTATAAAGTTTGATGAATTGTTAACAATATCACCAATCATTGGATTCAGCAAGATCTTCTAATTGCCTAAACAGAATATCTTGTACTTTTTTCTTTGGATCATCTTTAATATTTGTTGGGACAGCACCTATTTTTCCTAGCATATATTCTAGTTCTGTAACAAATATATTTTATATGAGTTCAAGTAGATGTTAGAAATGCTTTTGAATTATTGTTTTATCTGTTGACGAACCTTCCTCCGTTAAGTTCATTCCTCTTAACTCAATTGGTCCCACTATTTGACCCTGCATATTGCCATCACGATAAATGAATAATGTTGGCAAATGAGCATCTGGATAATTAGGAATACAGGTTGTTGATATGCTTTTTAAGAATTTAACGCTTGAGAATTTCAAAGCCAAAGCTTTCAAGTGCTGATTCACTAGTGAACACAAAGGTATTCTGAAATATTAACAGAAAAAATAAAACATAGTATTTAAAAATTCAATAGAAAACATTATCATTAACTTACCCTTGTTTATATAAATGTAAAATTACCCAGGTTCCTTCTGGAGCTTTATTAACTTCTTGGACATAGTCCTGTGCAGATATTTCATAGACGTCACCGTACTTGTTTTTCTGCACGAGTGCTTTCCATTCTGCTATCCTTTTTGCACGGAACTCTTGCAAGACTTTTTCATCTTCTTCATCTTCTAATTCATCCAATTCATCCAAAGTCGCATTTTCTAAATCTTTTTGGGCTATAAAAATTAAGTAATTAGTAAAAACACTGAATAAATTTTTATTTTTGTGATAAATAATATATTCACCTCTTCCAGTTCTTTCATTGATTGTATTTTCAAGAAGATCAACAATTTGATCTTCTGTAACTTCAGCTTCTTTCTTTTTTTCTGGTATAATACCTTTTGCTCTTAGAATATCATTCCATTGAGTATCTTCATTTGGATCTTGCTGATTTTGAAATAAAAAAATAATTATATACTCAAGTAATGAGGATCAACTCTTAATTTACTTATACATTTTACAATTAACTATCTTTTTGAAGTTATCTAAACTTAATAAATAAAAATTCAATTTTTGAAATAAAATTTAAAAAGCATGACAGTATTTTCGGAGTACAATCACACTTTGAAATTTATTCAAAAATTATCAAAAAAAAATCTTTTCGCACGCCGAGTCATCAGATGTATTTACCAAAAAAGGAATTTGTGACACATAGCTGATATATAAATAGACAACAAGAAAAATGATGTAGCTTTACAATAAAAAAAAACTTACCATTTTAATGTATTTTGATGATAAAAAATGTTTTAACGATTCCGAAAGTCACCTTATATAAAAAAAGGACTCGTGTTTCCCTCTCAAAATCTTTTATTTATTAAAAACTAAATGATAAAGTTTTATGTACACTAGAGTACCAAGCAGAAACGCAGCACTGTCGCGCTTGGTGAATCATGAATGAAATTATATTATAGAATGAGGTTAACTGCACGCTAAAAGAAAACAGTATGGGAACTAAATCGAGAGATATATATATTTAGAGTATTGCTTCAGACAGATCTATCGGTCTTATAGACGTGGATACTAAGTTTCTACGAGAATTCGCCAAAAATTTAATTTCTATACGTAATATATATTTGGTCATAAATCAGAGCGGAAAATTTTGAAAAAATGATATAAAATGCATCAGATGTAAAAATAGTTTTATTGTGGTTCACAATATGTAACAATTACTTTATTTCGTATTTATATGTACACACAATCAAGAATAATTATAGCTAGTATAAAAATTTATCAAAACTGTAATTGTTTTGGAACCACATGCTTATCCTTGATTGGTATATAATCTCTTGTAGGCTTCTTTGGTTCCAATGCTTTACTTTGTTGCTTTAACTGCTTCATCTTGTAACAAGAAATTGGACTTTTCTTCTTACTTAACATTAATAGAGACAGCTTTCTATTTAATGTGCTCCTTGTAACAGTTGCTTTACTTTTGACAATGAATGGCTTTTTAAAATAATCTGGAGGTCCATTTTCTTGGAGGTTTTCAACACTTTTTTCATCTGATGCTGCATTAGAATCTGAACCACTTGCATTTGTAATTGCTTTATTGTCATGATTTTTCAAGGTTTCTGATTTACTTAGTTTTTTGTTACTATCATTATTTTCAATAGCAGGTAAATTTATCATGTCTTTTATTTTATTTTTTTGTTCACTTAAGTTTTGAATCAGTCCAGAGGTCCAGGGAAATAGATTATGTATATCATTAAAATCATATTCATCATCTGAGATATCATCAAACGTTGTATCAGCATCCTTAAATGTTGCTATTTCTTTATTTGATTTTATATCATTTGAATCTGTGATTGAGTAGTCAGGAGAATTATTTGATTGTGCCTTTCCAGTTATGGTTGTGCATTCAGAATCTGTTTTTAGTTGATCATCTGAAATTTCTGTAATTTTCAAATTTTCTCTACCATCATCTTGTAAATTTTTATTCTCTATTATTTCATGTAAATGTAATACATCTGCAGGAGTTAATTCATTACTGATATTGCTATTATTGCTATTGATACTTTTTGTATCATCTTGTATATTTATAAATGAATTCAATTGATCATCTTCTTTATTTTCTAAAAGTTTCTTTGGGCTTTCTATTTCATAAGATGGTGTTTGATGTTTAATATTAAGAACAGCAGTCTGAGTAGATTCAGTTTGTGAATCTGAATCATAACTATCTGCTTCTGATTCATATATTTCTATCTCTTCTTCTTTGAATTCCTCTGAATGTACCATTGGTTTGACTGATACATCATCAATTTCATCAGTACAAATATTTCTAATATTTGTAGTTTCTAGTTCTGGAATATTACATTCCATTTCATTTTGTTTTTTCTTTAGAACATTCAAAGACTTTGATGATTTCTGACATACAGAAAATAGATCAACTTCTGATACATCAACTATATTATCGCTAGTTACATCAGGACTAGAATTTTTGGCATATTCAATAACATAATTTTTTTTATCATTCCCTTGCTCATTTAATTGCAACACCGGATATTTTTGATTGAGAGAAATTTCTTGCAATTTTTTTTCTTGTTTTTTTCTTAAAATCTCCCATATTTTAGAATGTTTTGAAGACTTAGAACTTGAAGATGAATCAAGGTCACTTATTTTTAAAATAGATGTATCATCGGAGTCTAAAGAATTATCTGTTATTTTATCATTACTGATATTACTTTCAGTTTCATTTGGTTTTAGTAAATCTGAATTATTATAATAAGATGAAGCTTCTTCAATGTAAGATTTAATGAAATCCTTTTTAACATCATCTACTAATTGATCAACAGAAATTTCTGAGTCTGAGTTCAAGTTTGGATTTTCAAAGTTGAACATATCATCGGTGTAACTCTTGATTTCCTTTATCTTCTCTGTATTGACATATTTTGAACTCATTAAATTATCAGTTTCAAGATTTTGAGTTATATCTGTAATACTGTCATCATTTTTAAAATCTGAATCCACTTTTCTTGAAGTCAATACAGATTTGGATTTTGGAAAATCAAACATTTCATCAGTAAATTTATGTAAATCTGCTACTTTGTATGATGTCTGATCTTTAGTTTTACTATCAGATAAGTTATGTGCATTACATTTCACATTATTTGACAAAACTGCATCATTTTCTTTTAGCCGTGCATTTCTCTTTTTAATCAAATTCAAAATTGAGCTTCTTTTAGTTTTTAATGGTGATTCAGATTTTTGAATTGATTCATCAGTTTTATCTGTGACAGTGTTGTCATTATTGACTTGTAGAAGCCTACGGTTTTCTCCTGAATTTTCATTCTTTATGGCAAAAAATGAATCATCGATTGTATCAACTAATGAACGTTTCTTTTTTGTCTCCTTAAACATTAATTCAACCTCAGGATCTAATTTGATTTGATCTAAATTGTTTTTAGAATTTTTAATTTTATTAATTTTAATCAATGTTTCATTTTCAGATCTTTCAAGTTGAGTATCATTAAAATGGCCATCATCAAAAATACATTTATCTTCAATTGAGTTTTGAATAAAATTCAAAAAGTAGGGGTCAGGTGAAGGAGCTGATTTGACAAATGCTTCTAATTTACTGTCATAATCTTGATTTTGAACTATAGAAAATTGTTCAAACTTTGTTACCTGAGGTATTGGATCATTTTCTTCCTTTTTTTCACTTTCTATTACTGACCAGTCAATTGGCTCCATACGTCCTCTTGAATCATAAAATTTAGTTCTATTTTTTACATCCACGATTGGTTGTTTCAGATGAAGTATGTTTGCATTTTTGTAATCTTCTAGAAACTCATCATGAGCAGATTCTTGAAATGAATCCATCACTGAAAAACCTGCATAGTCATTTTCAGTTTGTGATGATAAAGTAGTATCCTGACCTTCGCTACTAAGAGCTGTTTTATAATTTGAAGAACCATTTGAACCTCCACTGCTAGAACTATTTAAATTCGAAGAATTTATACTTGAATTTGGAGACTTGGATTGTGAGGAAAAGTTGCATTTATTTTCAGCTCTTTGTAGTTGAGAATGTTCATTGACATTCTTTCCACATGAATCATTCCTTTGATATTCAGATAAACTATGACCATTGTTAATATTTGGAGGAAAATACTCTTTCTCAGACGTACTTGAGTACTTTTTTTTACATTGCATCATAAGTAATTTTTCAGTAATTTGTGTTTTTTTGGCCATTTGTACTTGATTATTTGAATGTAAATCTGTCTTTCTTGGTCTGTGCGATGAATGTCTTTTATTTAATTCCTGAATTATCATTAAATTTTTAGATACTGTTTTCTCAGATTCTTCGTCTGAAGTAACATATTCTGAAACTTCGTTAGAGTTGTTTTGTTTTAGACGTTTAATTATTGAAAGGTTCTTCATGGCTGCTGTCTTTATAGCTACTATGTAGCTAAGACTGGAATGCTTTCAGCAGCTGTAAAAATTAAATGATATTTTTTTTCAGTAAGTATAAATTTAGGTTTTTATTTAAAAGAAAAGAACATTTTTTTTTTAAACTTCGTATTTACATCTACCAATGAATCAATCACGAAAAATTCAATATTCAATATTGAATGTATGAATTATCAATTACTATTTAAAACAATCCGATGTGGCATTGTCAGCCCTTTATTAAACAGTTGAACTTAAAATTATAAAATGGAGCATTGACAACCACTTGTTGTTTACAGCATTGACAAGGTTATGTTAAACGCATATTTCAATATGCGTACAAGCAGAAAAAGAGAGAAAAAGCAAAGAAATAATTAATTACCTTTTTTCAATTAGCTCAAATATAAATCCTTGGCTAATGAATAAAATAAGAATTTGCACGCTCGAAGTATAACTACGATACGTTCCGGCTCAATTGAGAGATCGGCATCGGGCCATCGAGTAAGTGGCAACTGGTGTGAGTTTGACGATAAAGCCGCCGGCCGCTGTGCTTTAGCCTCACGCGCGTGTTTATGCTAAAGACAAAGGATCGTATTATTTTATAAGTCGACTTGGTCGAAACGCTACAATTTTTTCACGTGGGGAAAAATGGCAATAAATGATGGCTTACAATTTTGGGATTTCATTTTGTGAATGAACAGACTCGGGAACGTGGGAGCATATTTTATGTGTAGGTCCTATATTTTCACGACGCCGAAAACTGGAATGTTATTGCATCGTGCATATTTGTTTGATGTGAATCTTTGTACAATTATTTTCTTTCAGAATTAAAAAATGGTTTTCATAAAAATCAAACGTTTGATTTGAATATTCGAAAAACAAAGCTTAAAAATAATAGCACTAAATTTAAACTTAGCACTATCTTCCAAACTTGAATAAGAAAAGTCAAGAGCGCTGCTCATTCACCGTAAAGTTACTTTATTGTTGCAAACTTATTTTGAATAAAAAAGTGGATACGAAATTCAATAAGGCTTTTAATTAGAAATAAAAGCTGTTATAGCTATACCTGAATTTTTTTACCATATACAAACAGCAAAGGTTGATCGAACATACGAAGCTATAACAAGCATTTGAGTAAGGTCAGACTCTGGAGCATTCAGCGTCATACAAATAGACCCACGTATAAATTACGCTCCTTAACGCTTTCGAGTGTTATCGCAGTTTCGAGAAATGCCACGCCATTATTATGATGTTTACTGCTTTACTGCTCGACAAAGCCAAGTTGCCACCAGATGCAACATCGTAAACAGATCCTATAGAGTGTTTCTGGTAGCAGTTTAATTTACTTTTTGAATATCTTAGGCCGTATGTCAAAACTACAGGCATTTATCGGTAACATAAACCTTACGAGCCATTTAAAAAAATGAATTAACTAATGATAAATTTTGAGAAGGTAAGCTATTCTTTCAATTTCTTTTGTTCGTTTTAGATATCATTTACGTGATCATTTAGAGGTTGAAATTATCGTCTAATTATAGAAAAATCATTTAATTTTCGCATTAGGATAATATATCTATTTATCCAAATGGTAAAATTTTCTTTAAAGTTAAAATAAGATATTTTAATTATTGAATTTTCTTATCTTTGATCAAATGAAAAGTTACACAAAGTTTAAAATACGTTATGCGTTTTCCTTCAATGGCGTTGATTATATCTAATCATTTGTAATTTTTAAATTTATTGTTCCCGCTTTGCGCCAGTAGTTGCGCCGGCAACACACAGATGACCCTTCAATCACTCTTTTTCCCGTGTGAGTTGCAACGCGCGGCGTGGCACGTGTTATTCCTCTCTCATTTTCTGATTTCTTTTGAGCACCACGCGTGTTTGAATCAAATAAACTATAACAATGGAGAAGCCCACAGTTTTAGCTCGTGTAATTAAAGTTTTGGGTCGTACTGGCTCACAGGGTCAGTGTACCCAAGTCAAGGTCGAATTCCTCGGAGAGGAAAACAGACAGATCATCCGCAATGTGAAGGGTCCAGTTCGCGAGGGAGATCTTCTGACTCTCCTCGAGTCTGAACGTGAAGCCAGAAGGCTCAGATAGATATGCTATTCAAAGTAAGTTTCAATTTTTTTATCTATGTTTATTTATAGTACTCTAACCTAAAACTCTCCTTTGGCTCGTGCTGTAACCCCTTGTTTTACATATTCGCACCCTTTGCATAAAATATTTATATGTAACAACTAAATTTCGTCAATTCTACGAATTTCAAAGTTGATACGCATTAAGTGTGTCATATTACAATTCAAATTGAATATGTATTATATTAATAGTCAACAGCTAGTGGTCAACTTGATTTGGTTTCATTCTGTTATAATACATGCGCATGCACAGTTCATTCAATAACAGTGCTTGACTTGATGATTTGTTACAATTTACTTCATTATTGATCAAAATTTAAAATTATTTTTTCAAATTATTGATCTTGTTACTAATTAATACATTTTTATTTTTTCAGATAAATATAAAATTACCAGCAATTGTTGTAACCTGGACCAAAAACTTGGAGGATAAATAGAACTTATTAGTAAAATTTGTAAAGAGTTTATTTAATGAGACTTGATCACAATACAATCATGAAAAACCAAGTGGTAGTTTAATGGAATAAACATTTGTTGGTAGCCCATATGAGCGACTGTGATTTTATGTTATTTAATACCTAATACTGCTATTTTTATTTCTGCAAAAAAATGCATTATATCAATAAAATATTGATCTATAAATATTATTTCATTTAATATTCAAAGAGTGTATCAAATATTTGAAAAAAAATCCTTAATACGTTTGATAAAACGGATGATAAATTTATTAAAAATTTCATATAACCAAGTTTGCCATCTGATATTCTATAAAATAATCTGGAAAAGAGCACTTCAGCAATATGACAGGTACAATAATTTAAGACTAATGTGAAATAATGTGTTCAATTTTTACTTTAACTTTCATAATTTGAATCATACTTAGTTGATATAGATAATATTTTTACAAGTATTTTAAAATTAGTCAAAATTAATTTGCCAAAAGTATATTAGCTTATTTTAATAACTTAATAATGAAAGATTTGCTTTAATTTTTAAAATAGAAAGACATTGCCTCATTTTCTATGACGTAACTTTTTAATTATGTCATAAATTTCCACAATTTTTATGTCAATTAAGTTTTAACTGACCTTTTACAATATTTGCTCAAATTATGCCAAAAAATTACTTGAATCTTACAGAAAAACAAAAACTTGAAAATCCTTTGTAACTTTTGAAATATTAAATTGAATGGGATGAAACTTTTGTGGATTTTATTCTAATAGAACATTTAAAAAAAAACATTAATATTAACTTTACGGATGAAATTAATTAAGAAAACTAGCTCCACATTATACAAAGAATAATAACTAGAAAAGTCGATTTTGAACCCATCACAAATCTTCCTCGATGATGCAGTATCAAAAAAGGGTGCTGTGCACTTATGCTCAATGAGAAACCATGCTAGTTCAAGCCTTCACATCGATGTAAATAAGTACATTTATCTCAGTGCATAAAGAAAATTTTTATTCAACATACGAATAAAAGGTGTACACATAAGTGAGCTCTGCATGCTTTGAATGTAAAAAAAAAAACAATCATAGAAACTTGCAGTGTACTCGCAACTTTTCGTTTCGTCGATAAAATGTCAAATGCATTAAAATATATTAAAATAAACTATTTCTTTGCATAAATTTTTAATGAAGAGCGTATCTAAACCATAATGTTATTGATATGAGAATGTAAACTTTTAGTTCAAAATATATACTGATTGAAAGTTGATAATAAGTCCAGTTTTATAGAATTTGAGTTGTAAATTTAATGAAATCATTTGAAGCTGCACGATTTATGAGTCAACATCTAGTCAAGACAAAAGTTTAATAAAAATTTACTAAAAAAAGAGAGGATAAAAGATAAAATCATTAGTACACTCAAATGAGAACTTGAAATTACTGTAGTACATCTGTAAGAACTAGAGAAAATCGGTATGTTGGTGTTCACCTAATTTCTTTATATCGTATGTAATAATCCGTCGGTGTCGATCAATCGGTAGTACTTACCAAAAAATCTTTAAGACGATTTTCCCAATCTTTTGTACAAGCAAATATTTTAACCGGAAGCAATCAAAGAAATTATAAATATTATTACGTGAAAAATTTTTTTATTCCAAGTTTACATGAATAAGCTAGATTTTCTTACAGTTATCTAAGTACAAAGATACGTATTTATTACGTGATTATCGTATAAAATTAATCGAATGCAAAAAATTACATTTGTGTATAAACAATAAACATGCACTTATATGAAAGCTTTGAGACGATCCTGTCTGATTTGCTCTTTATGTGCTGGTGGTACGTAAGGGTTCGTTTCTGGATCCAAGTTCAATCTATAAAAGTATATAAACGATTAAACATAATTGTCACGCGACGATTGGCAACAGTCGAGTGCGCATGAAATCTGAAAGAAAAAGCTTACTCGTAAAGTCGGGGCGCGCTGCCGCAGTCGACGTTGTACCACCAGTCGCAGGCGAACTCCTTCTGATTGAATATCGTGCCGTTGGCGCAGAGGAACGCCGCGCCCTGGTCACCCTCTCGGCCGTCGTGGCACACATGGTATACCTGCGGTGCACGCGATACGTTAATTCGCACGAGGCTTCGAGGCCATAATTACAAAGGAAAAATCGGTAACGTTGGCAGGCGCTACGATTAGCGGTTGGGGCAAAAGTATTTGTATAAGCGACTCGTTCATCGTGTTAGTATGGACTAAAAAAATATATTAATTGGATTAAAGTATAAAGCAGCTAGCTCGTATCACACGAAAATAATGAGAATTTAAATTATTTCGAAATAATAAAAGTTTACGTAATTCAAAAATACTTCGGAAATTGGCTGAGAATTGCTGGCGCTCGCAGCTCAATGGTTTCTCCGAAAGAATCAAACGTATTGTAATTTTGCCAACTGTTAAAACCGAATGTCAGCCACGGCTGGAAAAAAAACCCAACGAAAGTACATAGGAAATTTTCTCAACGTGTCGGTACACATTGGAAATGCCAGGCCTAAAACGACGAGGTGCGGCTCGTTTCATTGTCTCTCTTTCTCTCTCTCTCTGGTTGGTCAGTATTACTGCGTGGAGTATAGGTAGCAAGTAGCGATCGATTACAAAACAATCGCGTTTATGCACACGGCATTCTCTCATAATACACGTAGACTTCCTCGGGCTCGGATCGAGCTGCACGATTTATCCGCGAAAAATGGCATTGCGGCAGACTGCAACGATTAAAAAATGCTCCACGTTCGAGTGTATTGTTCGTATGACTTACAGCGGGACACGCGTTGCACAAATATATAACGTATACGATTCGGCATAAATTGAGCCGAAAATATTCACGCGCTGCGATACATACATTACTTGCGTGCAGGTAAATCAACGAGTGCGGCGAGAGTACGGTTAAGAAGAGGGGGTTCCCGTAGTGCAAATTCAGAGCTACAACGCATACACAGCAACACGGGGACAATAGATGGGTACGTTTACAGCCGAGTACAGACATGCATATATACGAACGGCGTGTGAAAGTCTCACGCGTGGCGGCCGTGTGCATATTATATATATAGGATACATGTATATTGGAATCGATGCCAGGCTGAAAAGTGCATTATCTTGTATAGGTATACCTGACAGCCGGTCTCGACGTTGGCGTACATGCCAGGCACGGCTGGCACATGGGCGCAGCTGAAGCTCGTCTGCGGGATCTCGTGGTAGAGCGGATAGTCCTGCCAGGGGATGCCGGGGATCTTGGCCAGGTCCTGCTTCTGCTCCTTCTTCCGCTTGGCGAAGTTCGAGATAGTCTGATGCAATCGGTACTCGCTGTCCAGTTGGCCCAGTGCGCCCTGCTGCGGTAATACGTTCGACGATTCAATTTTTTGTCTTTGCGCCAATGATTGTTTTAAATCAATATGCGAATCGCGAGACTAATTTGATCGAGCATGAGTTTGCGATATGTACGCAGCGATATTTTCTCAGTCAGCAGAATTTCATGCGTTACCTTTCGCTTTTCCGTCTCTCGAGTAACGCGCGTATAGCTTACGAGACTCTTTACGCGTGCAGTTTATACAGATCGCGGCTGCACGGCGTTTATAATATATGATATAATGCGCAATCGGTCGCGGCTCGATAACAACAAAACAATGTGCATTCGTACGCGCGAGAGTGAATCGATAACGATAGAATAGCTGCTTACTTGATGCGTGGACAATCCAGCGAGTATCATTAGGAGACTCGTGGCCAAGAGCTGGCCGAGCAATAGAGCACTGTTAGCCATATTTCGTGATTTTTTTTCTCGTATCTATATGTTACGTGCACGACTTGTACGGCATGCAGCGACGCATTCAAGTCGAATATTTGACGGATGAGTCGACGAAAGGAAAAGTCGCACGACGCAGCCGCCTCGAGATTAGGCCGCGATCTCGCGCTCTGCTCGAGAAAAACTGGAGCGCTAAGTGCTCGCTGGCTACGGCTGCTGCTGCTGCACTTGGTCCCCTTTGGTAAAAGCAACGCAGGTAGCTGCGTCATTCACTCTCTGTACAGTAGTAGTAGTAGTGTAGCCCGCGAATTATGTCACTTTTTCGCGATCTATACGCGCGCGGGCAGGTATACGCGCGAGCCGCGGAGAAAGTCCTCGATATATATAATGTATACGAGACGGCGTGCGTTTTGTTTGTGTTTACCTCTCGGCCGATGCAACGCGTCTATATACCTCGAGCTCGGAGAGAGATAGAGAGACTCGTGCACTTTGCTATTATGGCTTTACGCGCGTGTGTAGTGTGTGTGTGTCGGTATATTTCACACTCCCACGCAGGTACTATATACCAGCGCGATTCGCATAGCCGAATTATCAATTCACGCGCAGCTGTGCGACTGACCTTTTCCTCTTTCCCGCGGATCCTTATCGCCACCGCAGCCCCGACGTTACACACAAACAGCAAAACGTCTCTCAGCCGTGTGCCGTGCTGAGCATTCTATGACGCAACGACTCGATGACTGAAGGCGTGCTGCGCTGCTGCTGTTTAAATGCACTCCACTCTCTCTCTACTGTATAAAATAAAGGTCCATTTTTACGAGTCGAGCGCGCGCGCGATATCTCGGCCGCAAGATCAATGCCGCGCGCGTCTTAATTGTGCCACGCGATTGCCTGAGCTGCTGCAGTGGAGCCCCTTATGAACTGCTTACTTGTACCGCAGACAACATTATGGTCGTTTCCTGTTGCGCTTACCGTGATAATAGCCGGGCTCATTTTCTCTATGGAAAACCGAACACTCGGAGCTACACACAAAGAGTTATTTCGTCGAGATGACTTTGCACATTCGCGATTCGAGTCGTTTGTCAAATTTTTCGCATTCTTCGTGCGTGCCGCAGAGACGAGTTTTCAGGCGCGTTTTCTCTTGGAATGAAATTTTTCGAATTTGGACTTTTATTCGTTTATTTTATTCCGTCTCGAGCGTCGTTTCATTAGCGAGCGGCATCCTTTTCGTTTACATATCGCCGCAGCTGTTTTTTCGCCTTTATACGTACATGCGCAAAATACCATTATGCAGCCGTAAAGTCGAGCCGTGCGCGCACGACTGCTTTCTAAAGTAAAAGTCGCGCTTCTTTTCAAAACACACATACACACACACACATATGCACTTACGCAATGCAAGCCAAGGCGCGACGATTAATCGACGTGTACGCATACATATATGCAGGCGGCGTCTGAGACTGGATGTTTCCAGAAAATGATAAAAACGTGCTAGAAAAAATGTACGTGTACGCAGCTGTAGACTAATTTGTTGGGTGCATATGAAAATCTACCGGCTCTAATCTCTCGAATCTGTCATTAATCTCTCGAGTCCGCGAGTCGTGCGTATAACGCGTTACTTTGACGCGTATATCAAACGCGTACAAGTCGAATGCACGACGCGTTGCGCTGCTGCTGCTCTTATTAAAATATTACAATGAGCATTGCGAAAGCTCGTCATGTTACTATTTATATATATTTAGTATCTACGTAGTCGCGATCTGTGCACTTGGTATCGGTCATATCGTTCTCATTTTTTTCTTTTTCGGAACGAAGAAAAAATTCAGTTGCAACAGCTCGCGCGCGCACGCGGTCACCTCGTGTCACTCCTGCTTCCATATATATTTGATATAAATATCGATCGTACGAGCGTGCATATAAGGCTGTTCCATTTAAATTTCCTAGCATCCGATCCAGTGCGATTAAATTTGATGAAATCGTGCATCTCGCCCTTTGGCTGCAACGTATATAGCAGTGATACATACGGCGGATTCGGAATAATAGATGGAAAAGTGGCGTCAGGGAGGGGGGAGAAAAAAAATATTTCATCATTCGATTGGAATAGCATTTTTATATATAGGATCGATTGCGAGGCGTCGGTTCCATTCTCGCGCAGAAAAATAGATTCTCGTTTCCCACAAGATGATTTATCGCTGTATGCCATTTTCGTTGCGTCACCGCATACGTCGATTATACATGTAAAAAAAAATAAAAGAAATGACTGCACCAGCGGTTGTTTTAACATTTATTCTTTTAAATATAAATTATGCTTTTTTTTTATTTCTCCCTCGAGAGCTTACAAAGAGACACAACCGCACAAGTTTTTGAGCACATTGCAAAAACTGTGCCGATCGCGACGACGTTTCGTAATGCCAAGTAACGCAGCGATGGCGTCGATGTTTTGTATAAAAAAAAAAGTATTTCAAGATGTGTATATTCTCGGTAATTCCTAAATAAACTAGCGCAGTTTTAAAATCGTACTGTGTCTACGAATTTACGCGTAATTAGCCGAAAGAATTTCGAGGTTGTCACCTCAGCTAGACAGCTACACGTGCATCTTCGATCGATTCGTCGACATTCAAAAACATAAGACATTTTTCATAAAAATGTAAAAAAGAAGACTAGCCACGAAAACACTCGCGAATGGCTCAAGCACTCAAAGTCTGGTAACGCGTCTGATGACGACCGACGAGCCGTTCGTGCCCAGGACGTCCTTGATGTAGTCGTGAAAATTGCTCTCGATCATCCAGAGGACTTTGTTCCTCGTCGAGCTCGCTGGCACCACGTGGGTGGTCAATCTGGCATCGTTGCCCTTTGCCACCAACTGCCAATTCTTCGCCTCGAAGCTCGTCTCGCTGTTCCAGGCGTACACGTCAGCTTGGCCTGCGAGGAGCACATAAAAACAAAGCAATGTAAACTCGGTGGAGTGCCAACGACTCGAAGCCAGTGTCAAATTGCCAAATGGCCGATGTATAATAAATAACGTTAAAGTTTGAGATTATTAAAGGTAATATGCTTGGCTGGCCGATTTAATACCTGTATAATATGTCGATACAATAAAAGTGCTGTAGTGCAATAAGCGATTTACGAGTCGTGTGCGCAGACATGCACCTATACTATACGTACGCACACCTACACGATTGTTAATTATTAATATTATTATTGGAGCAGGCATTAGTCGGCTGCTGAGGCAGTTATGCGCCTCTACATACGTAGACTAGCCATGCTTTGAGTATTTTTAACTGCGATCTTATCCGGGTGCTTTATAATCTAGCTCAGCTGTTAACGTTAAAAAGTTCTTTATGCTGCTGCTGCTTCTAGTATATTTATCGACCAACGCACATACGTCGCATATTATAACCGAGCGTACGTATTTGCACACAAAGCCTCGATCGTTGTTGGCCAGGACACGAACTGGTGTAGCCGGTCTATTATAGCTTACCTTTGGCGCGAAAAAAGAGGCTCGAGCCATTGTCGCTGCCCAGCAGAATGATTTTCCTGTCCTTGGCACCGACCCGATGGACGAACGGCCCGGGCTTGGCGCGCCTCAGGTCCGACGTCTCGACGGCGTACAGCCAGTCCGAGCACAAATACGTGAAATAAATCATCGATGACGAGGTGGCGGCGGCGTTGCTCGTGGCGTTGCGCTTGCCGATCGCGCGAACCAGATAGAGCACGTCCGGTTGAGTAGCGCCACGACAGCCCGAGGCGACTCCTCGCGGCAGCAGGATCCGATGCAGCTCGTCGGCGACGACGTCGTGAACGATTATGGCGCCCACCGCCGCGTCCGAGACGTATAGGTGGATCCGATTGCCCGAGGATCGCTCGACCAAAAGATGCTGCAGCCGCGATCGGTAAGTCGTCACCTCGCTCAGGTCGATCCTATAAACGATCTTGGCCGTCCTCGCGCCGATGCCGAGGATCTTGGGCGGGCACTCGCGATTCGGCCGCTCGAGGCTCGCCACCACCCCGACGTCCAGCGCCCAGAGCACGTCGTTCGCGTGGTCGAGCGCCAGATCGACGACGTTCTGCGGATCGGCGCAGTCGACGACGTCCGCCTCGCACGATCGGCACTTCGGATCTTCCAGCAGGGGCTTGACTAGCGGCGGTGACTGCGACGACATTTGCATCGATCCGATGCTGAACGGAACTCCCGATTTGTACTTGGGCAGCGTCAGAAACACGGTGCGCTCGCGGAATATCTGCAGTCGGGTCGCTATGACGTTGCGCGCCGAGTAGGCGTGATCGCTGCAATTGCTCGGCGGGTAGAATATCGACGCACCCGTCAGCTCGAAGGATTTTTCCTCGCCACCGCAGAGACGACCGATGACCAGTAGGACAAAAAAACTCGATGGCGAAAACAAATTCATTTTGTTCACGCGTTGTTCAGAGTCCACTTGGACTCGTTACCACTTGGACGATTCGTGACTTTTTCTTTAGCCATTGACAATCGAACTGTGGAAAAAATCGACGGTGTAACAACAAGGAAGCTCGAACGATTTTAGCAGCTGTTTACATTCCTGTTCCGTCGCACATTTATTTTCAATAATAAACGACGGGCTCGCTCGGAGCGCATACATCGTTGCTCAATAATTATGCAATTTCGTTGAGTCAAAATTTTGACGACGAATAAATCGAAGCAACAAACTTTGAGCTTAACAGTCAAGTACTTTTAACTACTCTCTTTCTTTCATTTAATAACGATGATAGCAAAAATAAGTGACATAAAAGTAGTACAATATTGTATTTAACATGTAAAGAGTACAAATTTTAAAATTCAAACGATTCATCGTTGTAACGAAATTCGAGATAATATTAGCGTTGATTGACGAATGCTGCAGTAAATCCTTTTTGAGCTTAACGATTTTCTATATAATCAATTCATTTGACACAAGGTAAGCCGACAATTTATGCGAGTTTAGTTTGCCTATAAATTTCAACTGTATACCGCGACTCGCGAGTCAAGTCTTCGCCAACACACGCAAGTCCATATTTATAAAGCCGATCGCGCGCGCGTCAATACCGCAGAAAACTCAATCGCAAGCATTTGTACGAGGCATCGCGGTAAATTATCCAGCACATGTGTGAGGCAATCGTCGCGGAAATTAAGAAGAGCCCACGGGATCGCGTCGAACAATGGGACCCCCCTGAAAATTCAAAAAAGTTGGTGCAATATTATGCCGCAATGATAAGTGCTACTCCGGTAGCTATGTATATAAAGTGCAATAAACGACGCGGTGCGATTCATTTTTCGCGCCTATAGAACAGAAAAGAATCGAAGAGTTTTGTGGCTGCGGCGTGGGGCCCATGCGAAAATGCAGTTGCTGGTCGCGCGCGCGTGATTAGCGACTTCCGATTGTAAAGGCAGGGCGAGAAATCTCGCGGCAACGTAATTGCTATGATCAAATACGTATGGCTCGCACGCTATTTTCGTTTATACGTAATTTTTTTCCCTCCGCTGTCTCGCGGACGTGCAGCGCAGCGTTGTATGTACGATTGTAATAGCTGCACGAAGGGAGTGTTTGGGTGTCCCGGCGTGGGATTAGCGTTACAAGATTGCATATATGTGTGTGTGTATGTGTCGTACAGTGTACTGGATCTATATATGCACCAGTGATATGCATGTATTAGTTTCGTAGAGAAGAAAAAAAGAGCTCAGGTACGAGCGATGTATGCTCTCGGTGTGCTGCAAGCCAAAGTACAGAGTTTACACGACACAGAACAGTATCGATAGTATGTTCGAGTGTGTGTGCATGCATATACGTACTTGCGAAGCCTATACAAGCTGAGAGATCAAAGCTAGTTCGCCTGCCATGCCCCTGCGTGCGTTTAACTCGGTGTATACATTATGCAGCGCGCGAGCCTGTTTAGCTTCGGCCAACAAATTCGCTTGCTTAGAGAGAGGCATTGATAACAAAGTGAGCTGATTTACAGATTATATACACGCTGGAGCCTTGTATTTTAATCCTATGTATGTATGGCGCTCCGCAGCAGAGAGAGAGAGAGAGAGAGAGAGAACGAGAAAGGCAAGCTGCGACTGGCAACGTGTATTATCTGTTTCTTATATTATTGCTTATATGCACGCATACAATACATCGCAGACGCTCGAGGATCTATCCTGTATTTATGTATAATAAAATTTGCTGCCGTTGATATTGCTGTACGCAGCTTCCAACGATACCCGATATAACGAGCCTATTTTCGCCTCTCCCTCTCGTCTATATACTTACAGTGCAATCAGAGTTATTTATTAGAGTAATGAATGGAGCGATACGCAGTTTGAATTTCGGCCTTTTTTCGCCTGTCCCTCGCCAGCTAACACACGGACACATTTATAGTTTTATGCTCGGTACTCGGCGGCAATCGGCACTAATCTTATTACGTCTCGACAAGGTGTTTATTTTAATTTAAACGCATACACAAGCATAAACACGAGCAATCGGTATATATAATACGTGTAACTCGACACGCGACGTATTTATAAATATATAATATGTACACCCGGCTTATAAATACTCGTATCGTGCGTCAGCTCGATTTTCATCATTTGGAACTGCGGAATATTATGTATTATTCGTTGGAACGAAAAATTATGACGTTTTAATTATCGATTTGACTTGCTCCTCGTAATTTTGCTGTTTAAATCCCGTGTAATCGAATAAATTAAAATAAAGACTGGAATTGGAGTTGAAAAAATGTTTATTTTTTCCATGTTCGTATACTAATGACAACTTATCACACAGTAAGTCGCAATATCGAATCTATAACATTAGCTGCGTTTTCAGTCGAGCTAAAGTATAGATTGCGCCCGCAGTTTAAAATAGAATATATCATATCGATTGGAGAAAGCTAGAATTCGAGGGCTCGCGCGTGCATTTACCGCTTCGATTTAAAGATTGACACAAAGTGCAATGAAAATTTCCGGGACACCTCGCACGCCACGAGCGAGAGCAGTTGGACCAAGTAATGATTTTCACGAACGAGCGTGTCGAGCGACGTTTATTTTTTTCAATGTTGTTTGCGTGTAAATTGATATTTGACGCATCGTCCAGCTGGATAACGATGGTGTAATCGCGATCGACAACGCCTCATATTTAATTATCGCAAACGAGGAAATGTCACGCTCGCACGTGCGTGCAGTACGCATTCGTACACACATGTACTGGCGCCTTTTGATTTTGTACTCACGCAGATCGCGAACTTTTATATCATCGGCCATAGCGGGGCCTAGGAAAGGCGTAATGCGCGTTTTAACGTTCGAAAACGCGACGACTCGCTCGACTGACTCGATCGGCGGCGCTACTGCTATCGGCAACGTAAGCGACTTTTCTTGCAATTCCACGCGTACGATACGTTATACCGCTCTTATGCATAAATATGCATATCGTGCCTTTTTCTTTTCACCTTGCCCGATGCACTTTGCGGAGCGTTTACATTATATGTATATTATTATGGCATTATAATAATATCAGCTGCGCGGCGCGCGGTAATTGCCGCGCGAACGCCGATTTTGAAGCGATCCGCGAAGGTCATCCAGATTCTTATCGTATACGGTAGATAGAGAGCTAGCTCTAAACGAGTCGGAAAGTCAAACTTTTTTCCAATATATTACGCATTTTACGTTGTGCACGATCATGTATACTAGACCGAGTGGATTTGCATGGTGTAAGCACAATTGCTGCACGTACGTTATACCACTATTCAACTCGTGCGTACATGTGCAACGCCTAATTCTCATATAAAAATATACACACTCGCGCATAGATCTATGCGCTCTTGGCGGATCCATTGTTCTTCGTGACACGTCTCTTGCGCATACATACGTAAATATTATACGCAAAGCCCGAGATTGATCGGCTCGCGCGAGTAAAGGAGAAAGTGTAATTTATAGCTTTTGGCCAGGCTACCGCGGCGCGATATCTCGCCCCGTGTAAATGTTTAATTTGCCTCTATGTATGAAGATCGAACTCGTGCTTATTATTTCATTGTACTGAATTTTCGATTGACTTTTGCACGAACACTATTTTACCGGTGATAAGTTTCGTATTATGTGAGTATCCACACACACGGGTAAAAAAAGGAATTACTTTGGTGGAGGCAAATTGTAAAAGGTGTAACACAAGCAAAGCAGTATTCCCATGAATAACATAATATAGGCTATATTATTAATAAATACACCAACACGTTCGAATCACCTTCATTATGGCTTTACAAGCTTTCAATTTCATATTCAACTAACGCTGCCTGTGCATAGTTGCTTGGCCAGACGGTGCACCAAAGCTGCAATCGCAATTTTGCACAGCACGGGAGGTCCGTTTGCCTACACGCTCTATTATAGGCACAAACACGTGCTGTGTACTACATTGAAAATCCTAAACATATACTTGTAATAACGCGAGAGCGTGTAAAGCCTCGACGTCGGACAATCGCCAAGTCATAATGCATGTACACAAACGAGTCGAGTGTCAAGCTCGCGAGCGAGTCCTGTGAGACTTTTCAGTGTCATATCTGCATGTGCGCGGTGAAAATAAAAGAAAGTACCGCACGCATTGAAATTTACGTAATGTCCGACTCGAGCTCGCTGCTGCTCCGATTTTAGGAAAGAAACATAATGCTCATACGCGACTTATCCTAGAACGAAGTGCGCGCATATAACTTGTCCGATGCTTTTGTGCGTGCGCTGTGCAGTGCACTGCCGCGAGTAATTATCGCTTATAGTACACTGTGGTATACAATGCCCGTCCAGTGCGTGTACATAACGTAATAATCACGTACATGTATGCTTTTGCGCGCACAGCTGATATTTATATTCATTTTTTTTTGCTTTTAATTCGCAGGCAATTTATTAACGAGTCATTTCGCGATAGCGCGTGTAATGAATGAACCTGCATGAATATATACATTTGCGGCGATTGTTAAAATGTGACACTCGTGCCTGAACCGCGTGTGTATCGTATTTTAAGCGCGGAGAACGTGAAACGATCGACCGAACGTCGATATCGAGTTGAGGTAGCCGATCGAGCCAGGAATGCGCATGGCCATCTAGTTTTCTTGCATTCTATTCCAATCGTTCGTATCTCTCTATTAGCTACATGTAGGCTACGAGTACGCAGCCGTTTCAGTGGAGAATTGTTACACGCACCCAAAGGGGTAAACAATCTCAAGGATATAAACGTGCGAAGGTCGAACGAAGCGACGCTAAAAAAAAATTTAACGCCGTGAGTAATATTTTGATTTTACGGTCTGGTGCTTCCGTGTCAATACAATGATATATCGAATGTAGATCGATAATTGTGGACGTGATATGGAATTACGCAATTCATTAATGAGAATTCGAATGATCATTGTAATCAACCGATCAGGTTTACAATTATACATTTGATCCGAATCAGCGTGGAGCTGGAGTAACGACTTGGGCAGGTAAAATCGTTCCCATGTCCATGGCAATCACGGGAAAACTGAAATGTAAACATTATATACAAATCTATGGGTGTACGGAGGTGTGGTCTCACCGAGTTCCGGAGGGTCTGCTACATACGGGTACTCCAAGGTTAATCAATCGAGTCCTATAAATAAATACATATCAATGCCCTGCGAATAATCTTTCGAAAAATGTGGTTTTACCTATATGAAAGCTACCGTGTTATTTACATGTAACGTACATATGCCTTGGATAGGTATACAGGTAAAGTCTAATCAGTCGTTTTACGATTGGCACTCGTTCACTCCCCTGGCGCGCCGCTTTGGTAACAACCGCTCGCGAGCTGTGCTGCTCTCGCGTGAACTCGCAAAATGCATTAGGCGCTCGTTTTATGTAAACCGAATAATCGCGGTTCCCAAAAGTTATTGCGCATGCAGGTACGGGCTCGTACACATGTGCAGTCGGCATGTGATTGAAATTTTGCATTAGCGGCGCTATCTCACAGTACGAGACGTTTCGGTGTTTTTTTTTTTTTTTAGGCGGGATTTTTTCATGCAAATCGATTGTTACGCGTACAGAAAGACCATCCCTGAAAAGAGAGAGAAAGAGAGAGAAAGAGAGAGAGAGAGCAAACGCGCAACGATGGGAAACTTTTTATCGCTTTCGAGTCGAAAACGTAATGATTTGCATGTAAACCGATGCTCGTTCACGCGAAACGGAAGTGTAACTACATGTTGCGATTGCCTGTATTATACGTATACATGGGCTCGTCGATCATTGCTACCGATTCGGCCGCCCATAATAATAGCTAATTTTATCAGCCCTCGATCGGCAATAATATCATTAAAAATATTAATCAAAAAGTTGTTGCCAGCGTATTAGAAACAGAGAAAGATTCTTATCTCGGCGCGATATTTCCACCTATCCCCAGCTATATAAAGACTAGATTCGAGATCCCAATCGTCCATATATATATCCGAACGATGTGGATTTTGCGCAATTATTACGTACATATGTCTATCTGCAGGCTGCACTGAAAATTATGATAAATCGCCCTGGCCACACCACTTTGGCAATTTTGCAGCACGGGCACGTGTAAAGGTCCACCTAATGGCATTTCAATTTAATTTTAAAAGAAATAAAACTACAGGAGCTGGTGTAGGCAATAATCGGATTAGTCGGGCACAAACATGTGTGCTCTTGCTGCTACTGCTGCGCAAAAATTGCTTGGTCCAATATTATTCCTATTATTTATTTCGCCACCGCAAACTACGCGCGCACCACGAGTGCACCATGCGAAAGCGCAACAAGTGTACGTTCGAGCTATATTTGTCAAAATCGTCGATTAAAAGGAATGAAAAATATCTCAAGTACGCGAGAATCGCCGCTGTTGTCTCGATTGTTTTTTTTTTTTTTTGTTCTATTCCATTGAAAAGTTCTTGCAGCTGCAGCAGCGACGTCGTACACTTCGACTACGTAACTCGCGACTCGGAGAGGCTCGCTCGCGATAGATTGCATTAGCTGCGCGCCAACGATGATAATTAGCAAGAAGCGCGCGAACGTAGCGCAGCGTCACGATCCACGATCTCGTCGGCGCGAGGCGAGAAGAAAGTTTTGCGATCGATCGATGGCGAAAAATTTGATAAAATCGGCCATCGAATCTTCGATAAGCCGCGCCGACACCCAAGCTTCGTTATGGTGCCTTAAGATATATCGCGTAATTGCGATTATGCACGGCGGGGGGCACAGCAGAGAGCGAAAAAGAAAAGTGAATATAGCTGAGCGCGCTTAACGTTAGATCCGCGAGCTCGAGCCATTGTTTACTTTGCTCTCTTTCTATTATATATACACGTAGTACGTATCTCGGTGGCCGATCGATCGCGAAAAAAAAGCGCAGACATCTCTCGCGGTCTCCTTCGTCTGCATATAGACGCGCGGCGCGTGCACATATATAAATCGGGCGCATTATATAATACGCCCGTACGTGTGTATGTAAATGAGAATAAACAGAGAGGAAAGAGAAAAAAAAAATACGTGCACGCTCGTCGACGCGCGATAATGAATAATATCGAGTGCATATAGCTGCAGGAGCGAGCGAGCGAGTTCGTGCTCTGACGTAGCTTACGGTACACACATATCGGTAGAGGGAAATTGAGCACGGGCTCCACCTATTATCTAAGCCAATGGAAAAAAGGCCAGCTTTTCGCGAGAGAGTCGAGCCTCCCGTCGAGCGCTACACACGTGTGAATATAATCGCGCGCGCGCCAGTTAGCTTTAAAGACTCAAAGAAACGAGCTTGACGCGCCGCCGCCGCCGCCGCGAGCCTATATCGAACTTTCGAAAAGGTCGGACTGCATCGGTACAACACGTATATAGGAGTGTCACACGTGCACACGTACACACACTCACTCGCATGCATGATACAGATACTGGCGTACACGGAGACAGTAGGGGACTTGCACAATCGCGCGCTCCTTTGGATACACTGCACTCACTCATATACACACACACGCTTACAGAAGCTAATACAACGGAGCACGTTATCGCGGGGCGGTCTTGGCCTCCTCCCTCTGTGGCACTGCCGAGTGTGTGTGTGTGTGTCTGTTTCTCTCTCCCTCTGAGAGAGCCGGCTGGAGAACAAAATTCGTCCGATGCAGCAGCAGCAGCAGCCCAGCGTGTGCAGGAGCAGTCGTCGTTCGATCGCTCGCCTTGTCGCAAGCTCTCGTTCTCTTTCGCTTGCGTTTGCTTTGGGGCTTGCACCAAGTATCGCATCTCGTCTCGTGAGAGCGTGAATGATTTCTCGAGGCTCGATACGTGTGTTTGACGCCACCGATATGTGGTGAGTTTAGAAAAAACCACTACTGTGTTCGACAGCGACGCTTCTTTCTTTTTTTCTTGTTTTTTTTTCTTTCTTTCATTCAGTGAAAAGATAAAAGTGAAGGTTACGATATTTGGAATTTAAATCTCACCGAGTGCCACCGCCGCGACCATGTTCGCGTAATTTTCTTTGTGCGAAACTTTAATTCGTCGCTTTTGTATATTGCCTCTTGCTATACATATAGTGAAAGTGTGCGTGTGCAACGCTTTGATTATTTTCTTTTCGATTCGTCGAATTTTTCGAATCGAAAAGTCGCAGCTTTTTTATCCCCGATGTATGAAAAAAAAAAAAAAAAACAACAGCGAGCTGAGAAGAAATTATATTTCTCGTTATAATATGCGTGTGCAATCGCGCGAGGAAGTGTTATATGGAAACGTAACGACTATACGTGAATATGTAGAGTGCAGCGGCTCTCCTGTGTGCAGTGCCATGCGCGCGATATACGATTTTCCCGCGGTTTCGTTTAACCGTTCTGCGGCCGAGATAAGAAATGACACTCGAGAGGGTAATCGACGATCGCGCATATAATACAGACGGCGAAAATTTACGTTCGCTCGTACGCACATACGTTCAGATGATAAAAAACCAATTACCGCTTTGTTTTAGTGGCCGATTACGCGCGTGCATAGCGCCGAGTCGTAAATGTCTGTTACGCGTATGTAATAATGTGTGTCGGCTATAAGTTTTGGTACATAATGTTTAGCTGCGCGCACGACGTCGATGTTTATCGAGACACAACGACTGAATTGTTTTTCACTTGTGGAGCAGTAATCGCGCTGGGGGGAGAGACTCGAGACGCACACGATAGATAGTATCGATTGTAACTTAGCTTACCGGATCCGAGCAACGCGGGCAGAAACGATTGAAACATCGATTGGTTTCGCGCGTAAAAAATCACTGCGTTATCGAACGAATCGAGCATTTTCACGCAGTCATCTCGAACTTTAAAACTATCTCTCGTTGCGACTGATGGAAAATTAATTCGACCGGTGGACGTGCGCGTATGTACATCGCAGGGCAAAGATACACATTGTGTGTACGCGCGAATTACTCGAATGTACCGCGCGAGTTTTACATGTATGTGCACTTGGCACACGAGAGCATGGGAGAAAGTTTCCGCTGTTTTGCTCGTGCCTCTCCTGCATTATTATCTTGGCAATGGTATACATACACACACATACACATACATCTTATAATCACACGGCTTCTCCTGCTGTGTGCATAATATGTATATGTGTGCGCGTTCGTTACGTGCGTTTGTAACGATTTGCACGAGTCGCTCGAGTTTTTTGGTGCCGTTGCGGTATAGAAGTTCACCGGCGTCGCTGTCGCGAACACAGGGGAATGAAAATTTCGGCGATTTTCAAGGCTGTGCCAATCCCTCATTGGACCGCTTTTAAGTTGTTATAAATCACCGACAGTTGCCCGCAAAAATGTGTGTCAAAAAAACAGAAGAATTAGACTTATCGCAAAAGGAGTAATAAAGGGTTGTTTGCGCAATTTTTAACAAATCTCGCGAGCGGCACACAATCGTATTGGATAAGTCAATAGCGAAAAAAAAAATCATAGGTCGTTTCATTGAATATCCGCCAGTAGCTCGCAACGTACAGTTAAATTAATTAATTGAGATACGCCCCATTATGAGCTGTGTGTGCTTTCGGTTTATATTACGTTTTCGCCGTATTATGTGCAGCGAGCACGCAGACTAGCCGCATGCATACAGGTGAATTTCTCGGTGAGGTACGACGTGTGTAATAATGAACGTTAACTCACGATATATACGCATGTATCGGATTACTTACGGATTCACGGCGCGTCCGGAAAAAGGCTAGTTTAAGTCATTGTTCGATCGATGCCCGAACAGAGTTTTTTTGCCTTTATTTCATTTACTTAACGAGGTATGTAAAGTTCGCGTTGCGCAATTCTGTGCTTTTACCTTCCCCCGTTTTTCTTTTCGTACTCGCAATTCGATTTTTGATTTCGAACAATGCAATAAGGATCAAAAAGCACACACGCACACACGAGACCGGAAACTTGCCATGTACTCGTTGCAAAGAATATATCGTAATATTCGAACAGCTCGCGGTGCGCTGTAGTGTGTGCACTTTCCTCGGCGCGTTGCGGAGTTTTATTGTATTTTGGCCATGTTGCGACCGCGAGATATGCATCGAGCGCCGAGCAGCGTATACACGATCGGCAGCACATTATGCACCCATATACGCGCGCGACACATATAGAAACCTGCAGCTCGCTCGAGTCGTTCGTCATAATTATCCGTTCATCGTCGCTTACGTTTAGCCGTGGCGCAGCTCTGCAATATACTCATAGCTATACGCGATTATCAACGGGAGAAAATCGCAGCTTGAGAGACTTTGCTACTGCCGTTATTACCGCCAATGTACCGATGATTAATTTACGTTTGAACTTGTATAATTCGCATAGATCGGCAAAAAAATATTTGAGAGCGCCTCGTGCTCGCATGTGAACGGGATTTTTGCGCTGCCGCCGCCGCCGCCGCCGCCGCCACACGACTCAATTTCACGTTATTTATTGCTCCGCGCGCCTACACGCCGCCGAAAGGTATCGAGCTACACACATATCGATATATTATTAGAACTTCCTAGTGTATAAATATACATTTCATAATTTCTCTTTCGTCGTTCTCGGCTCTCCGATCAAATACACAATAGTCAAATGCACGTAAACATACGCTTACATGGCAGCTACATATACACCTATCCGACTTCCCACGAGTATAATCTACGATCTCGATGGCTACATCTGTATATGCAATGCCGTATATAATCCTATTAAATGAAATATCCTTATATATCGTCTTGCACAATTGACGTTGTCTCTTTCCGTGTCTATAGAATGCATGCGAAATCGTCGACCTCTACCCTGACTGCGCGCCGCAGTTTATAAGAAAAAACGGAACGTAATACGCGAAATTCCGGCGGATATTATGGCAGTCAGTCATCCGTGATTGTGTCGGGATCGAGCTCTCTCCTTTACGAAGAACAAACAGCTGGCGAACTTTCGCGGTTATTGCCTCTCGCGCCTCGTGCGCGTTTATATGCAGCGTTGCAGCAGCTCTTATCAATTAGTTGTGATCGACGGCGGCGGCGGCCAGCCAGAGTGATACAAGTTTTTCAGCTCGTTCCGACGTTGCGAGAGAGAAAGAGTAAAAAAAACGATATCCATGCGCCGTATAGTTCTAGAAGGAATAAAAAATTCATTTATGCCGTATAATGTATATACAACGAGCGCTATAATTTATGTTTTTTTTTCCTTTTTTCTAAACAAAATACATATAATACCGATGCTATTACGCGCCGCTTATCGCACCGGGTGATCTTTACACCTCGAGCGCAATATTATAAATACTTAATTTTCGAAACGGATTGTATATAACGAGCCGCGTATGCGTGTACGCGAGAATTAACATCGGCCAAACTATATAATTCTCGTAGCAATATATACGTGTCTCTAATTCTAGATAAAAATCGATGCACGCTAGTTTCCAATAACAACTGCGCGAGACTTTGCTCTGTGTGTATAAGGCTTTAACCGATAAGCGGTAGCAACTATGTATACTCTTGATCCTGTATTTGTGCATTATGCGGCACTCGCGTGTCTCGCGAGCTATACGATATGTTTTTTGCATTTAGACGAGGCATAAAAAGCAAGAGAAAGCCCGAGGATAATGAAAATAAAAAATAAGTCGCGGATAAATTGAATTATCCGAGCGAATTTATGGGGTCCAAATCGAAGATACGATCGAACAGAAATCTCAAAATATTCCGAAATGAACGCGTAAACTGTACTTTCATCCCGTTCATGTTACGCGAACGTAACGAGCCAATCGTAAAATCCTCGATGATTCAATTAGTGCAGCTAAGCCGTAATAACGAACGCATTATAAAGTAATAAATATTTCCCATTACCCAGCAGGAAAGCTCCGATGCTCGGGCTGCTGCTGATGCTGGCGGCGAGCTTCTCGCTCGGCCTGGCGCGCGGCGAGCATCTCGAGACTGTGGCCCAGTGGCCGCTACTCGACTATATCTTCCCCTACGATCCGGCCTTTCTCGAGCAGTTCCAGCCGGAGAACGTCGTGCCGACCGGCCTGGAGATCGGCTGGCATCGCATCTTCGTCGCGACGCCGCGGCTGCGCGCCGGTGTGCCGGCCACCCTGAGCTTCATTCCGCGCGACATACCCGGGGGCAGCGCGCCCCACCTGCAGGCCTACCCCAGCTGGGAGTGGCACAGCGCCGGCAAGGGCGACTTCAACTGCTCCAAGCTCATATCGGTCTACAGGATACGCGCCGACAAGTGCAACAGATTGTGGGTCCTCGACAGCGGCATCAACACTTCGATCGACGACTTCACCGTCGCCTGTCCGCCCAAACTGCTCGTCTTCGATCTGCAGAACGACCAGCTGGTGCGGCTGATAACCTTCCCGCGTGAAGTGAGTGTGCCAACAAATATCGAAAACAATTTTTGCTCGAGTACGTAAACTAAGCTACGATCGTTTTGCAGTCGCTGAGACCGAATTCGCTCTTCACCAATCTGGTCATCGACGACACCACGGCGGCAACTTGCGACGACGTTTACGTTTACATTACCGACACCACTGGTCCCGGTAAGTACCGCACATTTTCGTAACGCTAAAATTATCATATCGACGAGTCGTCGATTGAAAATCATAAAAATGTATTTACGATTGAAATCGTTGCAGGACTGGTCGTCGTGGAAGGCGCTACCGATCGCAGTTGGCGATTTTTACATTCGTCCATGTTACCTCATCCCGATCAAGCAACCTATCAGGTCGGTAAATGCATTCATGTACAACACGTATAAGTCTAATCACGCCCGTGCCTACGTGCGATTTTATTCATTAAAATTTTTACATGTCTAAGGCCTGCTGCTGTCGGGCGCTGTTCGATATCTCTCCCTTTCTCTCTCTCTCTCTCATGCGCGCGCGCGATTAGCGAGTTGCAGCTCGATCATTCATCACTGCGGAATATTTTTAGCGGCGCTAATTACCGTACACATGCCTGGTGTAATTTTTTTTTCTCTCGTCCGTCGACCAAGTCAAGCGATCGAATACACATGTAGAGCTGCTGCACCAATTTTTTTTTGCCGTAACACATGTTATCTTTTATCGTGCACAGTCCGATCGAAGCTTGCCCGATCAACTTAACTAATGCAATTCTACATGACCACAGTCGTTGATCGCGAGATAAAAAAATGGGCAGAGATATTTTTCACGAGTAAAAACATGATATTTCAACAGATCGGCCGTGATTCGTTCGAGCTGTTCGACGGAATCGTCGGTATAGCGTTTTCGCCTCGACTGGCCACCGTCTATTATCAGCCACTGGCCACCGATCGCCTCTTCAGCGTACCGACCACGGCCTTGCGAGCCGGACCACCTGGCTTCGATGACGAGTTACCGGTCACGCTCATCGGCCGCAAGTCCAGCCAAGGAATCGGCTTGAGCGTCGATCCGCGCGACGACAGTATCATTTTTTCGCCGCTCACGGAAACTGCCATTGCCATTTGGCAGCCACAGACCAATGCCCAGAGGTTTGTAGCCTTCTTTTTCGTATGAGTCATTTGTTCATTTATGCGTTTTAATGACTCGTATCATTTCAACTCTTTGTTCTTGCAGAATTCTGGCCTACAGCCCGGAGCTGATTCAGTTCGCCGCCGAGGTGCGCTGGGTCGAGCGCGACAGCGGCAACATTTGGGCGCTCACCACGCGCTTCCAGAAGTTCTTCAAGAAGCAGGTCGACCCGACCGACCTGAATCTGCGCATACTGAGGATCAGACCGGAGAACGTCGTGCCTCGGCCGATCTATCCGCTGCGACACTTCAACGTGCCCGCTCATCCGAGCTTCTACAACCGAACCCTGTCGTATTTTTAAGAGCCGAAAAAAGAGGAGAGAAAAGCTGAATCGGATCGTGCGAAGCAGGAATTTCCAATCGAGCGAATGTTGACTCTTTGCTGCCTTCTAAAAAGCACGTACACGCGATGTTGTAATAGTTAATTGAAATCCCATGTATTTACGAGCGAAAGCTGTACAAGTGATTTTCTTGATCGTCGCAATTATACTTTGAAAAAAATCGAAATAGTACAATATACATGTAATAGCGCTTAATCGTATGATTGACGCAAAGTAGGTAGATTTTATTTATTTCTTACATAGTTGCTATCTCAAGCACATCTCAAGACTACCTAACGATTTTCTCATTTTTTTTTCATTTTAAAATCAGATTGAAGGGACGTACAGATGCTTTACTGTTTTAGGATAAAATCAACTAGAAAGTAATCGAAGCGTTTTCGTATTATATGATATTTATACTTATAATAATTAGGTGATGCATTGAAACGAGTTCAATGAGCGTAATCAAAATAGTGCCACATAGAAATTTTTCTTGTAATCGTCGACAGCAAGTGATTCTTTAAAGAATTTTGTAAATATTCATTCATAAAATTTAGTGAAACACAAATACTTTTATAGTAACTTTAAGAGAAAAATTTATTGGATAATAAAGTAATATTATATCAAATAATGTTAAAGACTTGCATTTCTAAACTAGGTATTAATGGTAAAAAAATTATGGTCATATGCATGCATGATAGCTAAAGATTTTTATTGCTGTTTATAACGTTCAATAATGATTTGAGTAATATTAATTAGATCTTTATTTTTGCTTGTGACAATCAAACCCATGACGTCGAATAGACCCTCTCTATATTTTTAATTTTTTTTTATTTATTTCTGTGCCTTGACAAATTTTTATACTGACATAGGTACTCGATTCCGGATAGTAAAAATCCAGCTTTACCGACTGTTCATAACCATTGTAGTGATCATTGCAAGAATTATGGTACACACATTTCCTATTATATCGAGGTTCTATAAAATTATTCGTTTTGCTGTTGATATACTTCACATCCACAACACGCTCTTCTTTGCGGAAGATATATATTTTATACATACAAATTCATGTAAGCTTAAAAATTTAAAACAATAAAGGAAATGAGCGTTATTGATATTGATAAAGAATTGTTATCGTCGAGTTATAATATAGTTTTATATTAGACTCATCTAATATTATAGTTGAATTTATAATGTAATATAATTGGTACACAGCAAAATCTCCCAATAGCGGACGCCGGACACCCTAAAAACCTGGAAAAGTGTCCGCTATTAGTTATTAAAATTTTAGTTATTAGTTATTAACAGCGCTTTTGCGACACCTTTCAAGAGCTCTCTAACCGTGTCAAAATTTTGCTTACAACTAATAATACGTTATTCTCATTCTCGTTTTGTCGCTGATTTTAAATCTCGTCCAATTTGTAGAGGTAAACAAATCCCCTCTTTAAGTATTTATTCAGTGAATTGATATTAACACTTTTATTTACAGTTTGTGAGTATATATCATGAGTGTAAATTTAAAAGTGTTTATTTAAAATTTGAAATCATCTATCATAATAAAGAGTAAAAATGTCCGCTAAGACTAGAAAATGGGTAACCGCGTCCGCTATTGGGAATAAATGTTACATGAAAAAGCATAGGAAAAATTCGAGTCTTTTAAAAGTGTCCGCTATAACATTCGCAGTAATCTTTTTTCAGTGTATAAAAAATGATGGGGGACAATGAAGAATCCTCTATACGATAACAATGAAAGAATAAGCAAAAAAGAAAAACAAGTCAGCTCCAACGATGATAAAACTAGATTGAAAGACAGTAATAATCCCTCAGATATTACTGGTTAAGATCTCCTATGGACCTCCTTTGGTGAGAAACTTTGATCGATTTAGAGAGCGCACAGTGATACCAGCGTCGTAACGTATGACGCAGCCATACTTATGATCTAAAAGTATTCCATTTAGCATTCAGCGAATAACAATGAGATTTTGTGTCGATCGATACTCACAGTGCCTGCCGTCTCGAAGTTAAGAGGCACGGTGGGCCCAATCGTGATGCAACAAGGTTCAGCTGCTCTGGTCATCATCAAAATCAATAGCCTTCTCGTTCTTACTGGATAAGTGTACCATTTGCTGCTGTAGCTGCAACATAAAATTTTACCATAGTTCTTTTTAAATACTCGTAATTTTTACAAATTATAATAATACCATTTGAAACATATGTCATTGCTGGCATCAAGCAGAAGTTGGCTTGGGTAACAGATTACTATCACAACAATTAATAATACTACAAAAGAAATGGCCATTATAGCAGCACTCAATGCATCATAAGAAATTTCAACGACTGCCTGCAGAATGAAAAAAAAGATAATGCGATGGACTTGCGATGGAAAAGTTTTTTAAATTAAAATTTAACTTGCCATAGATCCTGATAAACTCAAGCATATCATGATGCTTATCATAACAATAATTAACTTGGGGCTACACATGTCATTCAACGTGCGAGAAAAACTGAATAATGAAATTTTAATTTATTACTTTTCTTTCAAGATAAAACTTCAGGAATATTCAATGTGATATATTTTACTCCAAGCATTTTTGATGTCGGTTAATTCAATCCGATAATAGTATGGTGCACGTATATGTCCATTTTTCGCTTCGCACTTGGGCTTTGATCAAAATTTTTTATTTTTTCAAGTTTTTCAAAAACATATCTGCAATTGAAAAAAAACCAAAATATTGAGATGGGGTCTTGTAATTTTAAAATTTCAAAATCGGTCAATAATAATAAACTTAACCCGATCCATATGATTTTGCCCATAACGTAAGTAATGCAAGACGTGTAGGCCAAATCTAAGGCACAGACGATAAAAAGAACCAAAATAAGCATGTGAATAGAAAAACTGAGAATGTAGTAAAAGTATTTTTCCTGATCGATAAACAGCTCAACATGAACGCAGAGGCTTCTCTGCAAGGTCATGTTTTCCGGCAAGTAAGGATTAAGGACGTATGGCAAAACCACCGGGGCAAGTGCATAGCCCATGAAGAACGGTAGCAAGATGCCAAAGTGTATTAATATCAGACGAGATCCTCGCTTGCACACCACCTTCATTGTATTCTTTTCTTCCGGATCGTTGATGCCAAGCCAATCGATCGTCACGATCTCACATATCCGGTAAAGCTAAATGCAGTAATTTTATAATACATGCTGAAGGGAAAAGAATGTCGACAAATTTGCATGGATCATTTTGATTCTTACGATTTTTTCTGATGCTATTGTTTGCAAATAAACAAAATATGCGCCCAGCAAAATTATGGATTGAAAAGCAAGCTCTGCAAGCATTGGCGGATATATTTCATTCACAAATAGTTCTTTATGAGCTCTGGTGAACTGCAAATTATTTTCATTTTATTAGTGGTGAAAATAAGCTTTATTTCAAAATTTACCGTTATTATGATTGAAAAAAAGAAACTCGAGTGCATCATGGCTCTTCCGGATTTTTGTATAGCTTTTGGCTGCACCGGACATAAAAAAATCAACTTGAGAAATTTTTTTAACCAATAAAATTGATTTTCTTCAAAATCCAGCTGCCTGGAGAGTTCGGCGAGCTCAGCTTGGGTTGTCTGTATTGCCATAATGATCCAACAAAGTATTAAAAATTTAAATTTAGTCAACGTTACTCCGGAGCTGAAATAAAATTCGTTCTTTTCTTGCTAACTTAAGAATGACTAGACTAGATGTGTTTTCTTCGGAAATTTAAAGTCTCAACAACTAATTTAGGTGCCACGATAATATTTCATTGTATTTTTCCCTACATGAAAAATGTAACCCTAAGCTCATATGTTATTTAACCGCATATAACTCTTTACCGCACGTGCCTTATGTTCCGTCAAGTTCATTACTTGAAAAGGTGTTGAGGTGCTTAAAAATTTAAGCAACTATCGATATTCGCCCCTATTGTTTGCGAATAAACAAAATATGTGCTAAAAAAATTTGTGAAAAGTAATCTCTGACAGCATTAGTAAGTATATTGTGTATCAGCACATAGCTTCATCAGCAGACTTGTAGAGACATAATTGTGTGTTAAGAGGATGAAAAAACAAGGAAAACTAGTCGATATTCAGTAACTGGTACTTTTATTCATCAATTAATTAATTAATTAATTAATCATTAATACTACAAAGATTGCTTTTTTACCATTCAAACATCTCGTGAAAAATGCATTTATCCCTCATACTAAGCGATCCAATTTGAAACTTCGCATTGGTAATATTTTTCCTATCAACAAAAACATGAAATACGTTATCAATTTCTCATTTCGAATTAACGCATCTGCACGAGATTCGCCAGTGAAATGACGTTATTCATGCTTACAGTGGCAAAGTGTAAAATTGCACTCCACGCTCTCGTAAGGCAAACACGCGAGAGATAAAACATTGGTCGAAAAGAAAAGAAAAAAATTTAACGCTCTCTTTTCATGACGATGTGCAAAACACATCGTCACTTCAGAAATAAGCGTACAGACGAGTCGGCATCGTGTCGTGTGCGGCAGATTATCTCCGCGGTTTCTATAATACGTTCAACATTTTTCACAAAAAACATCCATTTTCGTATTGGCAAAAAGACGTGGTTCGCGCGATAAAGCATCGATAATTAGTTTAGTCTGGTACAGCTCATCATCCGCACAAATATTTCCGTAAGTAACTAGATTTTATATCGTAGTTCTTAACGTTTTATGAAATCTCCTATCCGAGGGAGACCCCTTCATTTCGGGCGTTTACCAATCTGCGGACCTATTTGTCAAAGTTCGAGAGAGCCTGCATTGGTCAATTCAGTCTTTTTATGCGTATGCACTATATAAACGCTTTATACGCGTAGATAAAAGAGCTAATACTTAATGATTCTTTCTTTCCTTTTTTCTTTTTCTTTCCTTTTGTTGTCGGTACAGTCGTGCGTCTCCGATCGATCGGTCACGCTCTCCGTTCTCCACAAACTTATATATCTCGAAACTTGTGCAAAGTATCCGCTTTGCCGGTATCCGCGAATAGCAGCAGCAACGGCAGCTGCCACTGCGTTACGGGAGACTTGAGCTGTGCAGAAGCAGAGAGCAAAAAAAAAAACTCGAACGACTGTTCTATATATTCCGCGCGGACTATACGATCTTGTCTAGGTATTAATAATAACCAGGCTCGAGGAAATTCAGTCGGATCAGAACCGCCATGAGGATTAGAAGCGTCGGCAGCGTTAATAGTATCGGCGATTCGCGATCATGCTCTACGTTGCTGCGTCTTGTGTCTGTGCCCGTGTCGTTCGAAAGCCAATAACGTCCCACGCGAGATGAGCCGATTTTAAGTGCGTCTATTCTAGAATAATACGTACGCAGCATGTGAATCGTCGCCGAGTGTGTGCATCGACGAAACATCGTTGCCGATTTTCAGAATTTACGGTCGATACATCGTAAAAGGCAAAAACGTTTTATGCTCGGAGCGCCGCTAAGAAGGTTCGATTTTTAATTGTATTGTTCTCATAAGTTTCGAGCAGACGTGTGTGATTTATTTATTAACGGCAATAGTCGTCATTTCACTCCTCTCGAGCCTCTGCCAAGTTCTCTACTCCGTGCGGCAGTGAGAATCCTATATCTCTCGGTGAATGAGTGAAAGACTCAAAACAATAGCTCTACGGCAGCTATAATATCCGACCAAGCGTGCAGCCGAACTTCACGACGACGCAGTTCTTGAGCTGTCTGTATACTTAAAAATTTCACGGTGAAAGTGATTTTTTTATCATTCGTTCGACAATGAAAAATGAACGATATGAGTTTCGAATCTTATTGATTCCTACTTTGGCGACTGAAAAGTTTCATATATTATGAAAATATAGATTACAGCATTCACCATCATTCTGATAGATATATTTTTTCTTCTCTTCGGAATCATTGAAAAATTTCCTTTTTTTTAATCTTTCCACCGGTCTGCTTTCTTAATCATTGGATTATATTCGCAAACGCAAATTTCAAATCTTATCGCGCGTAATCATTTGATTCCGCTCGAACATTGACAGTCAGATGTAAAATCAAGTAAAAAATTGAGAAATTTGTTTGTTTTTCCTAACGATCCATACCGAACAACGCATCGAACGCGCTAATAAAGCAATCAGGTCATTGGAACGAATAATCAATCAGTAGGCTTATTCATGCCAGCCGGTAAATGATGATTGCGTTTGCGCAAGTCATAATTGATGTTTCAAAGTATAAGGATTTCCACTGCGATTCTCACCACGGTGTTGCATTGTGTAGCGCGCTAATTTTTAAATATGTATCATAAGTATCGGGAAAATATTTTTTGAGTCACGCACTCGTGAGTACTTGCTTGCGTATACACGTCACCAAATTGACAAAGAAAAAATGAAAAAAAAAAAAAATTGAAAAACAGATTTTCTTGTCTATGGAAATTTCTCCGCACCAGCGCGTACACAAAAAGAAAGAATGTTAACTGCACTGGAGATTGCACAACGAACTCTCGCATGCACTCGCCACCTCGTATATACCAGCAGCGTCACCTTTGCTGCCGAAATTTTTATTACAAGCCACCGCCACCGCGCATGCAATTTAGGTTCGCGCATACACGTTCACTCGCTCTTAATATCCGGCCGATGAAAGAAACTCGCAAAGAAGTGACATAATAATGGTAGGCTCGCGCGTACATGCACACGAGAGAGGCCTTTCGTCAATTCGCCTGAGCGTTATGGAACTACGCGCGATATGCATATAGAAAACCAGTAGCATATACGCGCGAGGTGACAAATCGTTTCCAAAGAATTTCAAATTTTTATCCCGGGCCGCGATCTAAACGACCGACTAATTTTCCCGTGTATAATGATACATCAAGATGAAACGTCACGAGCATGGGTTTTACACGTTTATATATGGGTCAAAATAATACTTTTTTACAAAACCGTGCGCACGTATGTCACCGATCTTGACGCGCTTTTGGTATGTTATAGTACATGGTAAAAAGGTCCCAAAAAAAAATTTTTAGACCCCCTCCCCCCTCCTACCCCCCACTTCCGGTATAAACGTCCATTTTCGATCTATATTTTTTCTGAGGACATGAAGCAAGTAAAAAATCTGAAAAAATTCATAAAAATACTTTTCCACAATCCAAACAACCTTGAATTTTTTCAGATTTTTTGAGTGCTTCAGGCCTTCAGAAAAAATTATTGAAAATTTCAAAAATCGAGATACGGCGGTATGAGCCGATGTAGTACTCGGAAATTTTTTCAGTTATTTTTCGCATTAAAAAACATAACCTCAATTTTTTTCAGATTTTTTCAGATTACCTAACGCACCTTTTGAAGCCAAAAACCGATTTTTTTGACGAAAATAATTTTTTTAGGACAGTACGGAGCCTCGAAAAATCTGAAAAAAATTTTTTCTTGTTTTTTTCATCAAAATACGTAATCTCAAATTTTTTCAGATTTTTTAATTGAAGGCGATAGCTTCTAGGGCCGAAAAATGCTATTTTTAACAAAAAATGGTTCCTAGAACCCGATGGTTCCGGTGAAAAAATTTGAAAATATTTTTTTTGAATTCCTTGTCAAATTTTAATAAATTTTGACCGTTTCAAAAGTTCGATTGAAGCTTCCTAGCTCATTTTAGAGCATCAAACGAGTTTTATCATTCCTTAATGTCTTCAGAAACGTCTTCAGATATTTTGCACTAATCTTTGTCCTGCTCTAAAATGAGCTAGGAAGCTTCAATCGAACTTTTGAAACGGTCAAAATTTATTAAAATTTGACAAGGAATTCAAAAAAAATATTTTCAAATTTTTTCACCGGAACCATCGGGTTCTAGGAACCATTTTTTGTTAAAAATAGCATTTTTCGGCCCTAGAAGCTATCGCCTTCAATTAAAAAATCTGAAAAAATTTGAGATTACGTATTTTGATGAAAAAAACAAGAAAAAATTTTTTTCAGATTTTTCGAGGCTCCGTACTGTCCTAAAAAAATTATTTTCGTCAAAAAAATCGGTTTTTGGCTTCAAAAGGTGCGTTAGGTAATCTGAAAAAATCTGAAAAAAATTGAGGTTATGTTTTTTAATGCGAAAAATAACTGAAAAAATTTCCGAGTACTACATCGGCTCATACCGCCGTATCTCGATTTTTGAAATTTTCAATGATTTTATCTGAAGGCCTGAAGCACTCAAAAAATCTGAAAAAATTCAAGGTTGTTTGGATTGTGGAAAAGTATTTTTATGAATTTTTTCAGATTTTTTACTTGCTTCATGTCCTCAGAAAAAATATAGATCGAAAATGGACGTTTATACCGGAAGTGGGGGGTAGGAGGGGGGAGGGGGTCTAAAAATTTTTTTTTGGGACCTTTTTACCATGTACTATAACATACCAAAAGCGCGTCAAGATCGGTGACATACGTGCGCACGGTTTTGTAAAAAAGTATTATTTTGACCCATATATACTGCCGAGTGAAAACATAGTAATTAACGTGCTCTCTCATATGATCGCAATAATAAATAGTTTCCTTCACTCTCATTATTATTTATATGCATAAAACTTGCGCCGCAGCGAATTATTGTATGTTATATGTGTTTTCAGATACAGAAGAGAATCCAAGTCAGCGGGCAAAAGAGCGTGAAAAAGAGGCTATATCGTTTCGTTTGCGCTAACAAAAAAATTGCACTCCGCTCAGCAGTAGCAGCTATTATCTGCTGTCCGCGTTGCCGGAGCGGTAGAGTATTTATATACATCGCACTCGACCTGACTCGGCTCGGCTGCATTTCTCATCGCCACGCCAGCGGAACGAAGTTGTCAAGAGCAAGGATTCTCGGCCTCGCTGCGCTGCTGCTACGACCGCAGTCATCATCCCATACCTTGGTCGCGAATCATCCGGCCGAAGGAACGCGCGAGTCACGATGCTATCTTTCGGTGATCGCGTTTGCCTAGTTCTGATCGTCGCGGTCACAGTCGCGTCGGCGGCGAGCTTTCCCAAAGCCCCGGAAAAGCTCAAGATCGTCTACTCGTGGAAATCGCTGGACTTCGCCTTCGAGAGCGAGGCCGTGCGCGAGTCGGCTCTGCGCACGGGACGGTTCAAGCCCGGCGCGGCCATTCCCATAGACGTGGACGTGCACTACGGGCCGGACGAGCCGCGAGTCTTCGTGACGATGCCTCGGCTTGAGATCGGCATCCCCGTGACCGTCGGCTACGTCACGGACGGCCTGTCCAAGGAGGGCAATCCTCTGATCGCCCCCTACCCCAACTGGCAGTGGAACAAGCTGGGCAGCTGCGACGCCCTGACGAGCGTCTACCGAGTGCAGGTCGACGAGTGCGAGCGTGTCTGGGTGCTCGACACGGGCAAAGTCGGCGAGGAGCAGGTCTGCCCGCCGCAGCTGCTCTCGTTCTCGCTGCGCAGCAATCGGCTGCTGAGCCGCTACCGCGTGCCGAGCTCGCAGTACGAGGAGGACTCGCTGCTGGTGACCCCGGCGGTCGACGTCAGGCGCGTCGACCCGGCCAAGCAGTGCGTCGAGACCTACGTCTACCTGGCCGACGTCACGGGCTTCGCCCTGATCGTCTACGACCATCGCGAGCAGCGATCCTGGAAGATCGTCAACAATCTCTTCTATCCGTATCCGCCGCACGGCACCTTTGAAATCAGGGACGAGAACTTCGACCTGATGGACGGCATTCTGGGCATGGCGCTGGGCCCGCAGAAGCCCAACGGCGAGCGCATCCTTTACTTCCACTCGCTGGCCAGCGTCGTCGAGTCCTGGGTGCCGACCTCCGTCTTGAGGAACTACAGCCTGTTCCGCAACAACAGCGAGGCGTCGCCTCGCTCCTTCCAGCCCTTCGCCATGGAGAGATCCAGCCAGTCCGCAGCCGAGGCCATGGATCGCAACGGCGTCATGTTCTTCGGCCTCATGAGCGATCTCGCCATTGCCTGTTGGAACAGCAAACACTATCCCGAATTCGGTGGCAATAACATCGAGAAGCTCGTCGTCAACGAGGAGACCTTGCAGTTCGCCTCGGGTGTTAAGGTTAGCCGGAGGATAAAATCGATTTTTCAATATTTTCTATTACCTAAAGCGACGCTTTTGATCTCGCAGGTGGTGAACGGAAAAAACGGCCGACAAGAGTTATGGGTGTCGACCGCCTCGTTTCAGCGCTACATGAGCGGAAGTCTGCATCCGAACGAGACGAATTTCCGCATCCAGGCAGGCTTCGTGGACGAGCTCGTGCGAGGCACACAGTGCGACGTGACGACCCTCGATTCCATAAGCCGATACCCGACCAAGGTGTCTAAATGAAGGTCGTTTCGGTACCGCGGCAAGTTTTTCAACGACAACAACGACGACGTTAACGACGATGACAACGACGATTGGTGGGTTGGCTACTTTCCCCGACATCGTTTCAGCTTCGAGGACGACTCGAGTTTTGACAACGATCAGCACCACAATTACGGACAGAGACTGAGTCCTTCATCTTCTTACTTCCCGTGGTACCGCGATAGCGCCGCCTTAGCTGCCGCCAGACCGACTCGCAGAATAGTTCGACCTGTCTCGTACAGCTCTCGTGTCGATCATGGACGATAAAATAATTGTGTATCCAAATTCGCGAGTGCTTAAACTTTCGACATATTTTCAATGTGATCGATATTGATGCTCAATTTTGTACATTCATTGTACAGTTTTGTTAATGTGTTTTATACTTTTTATACAGTAACTCAAAACATTTTACAATTTTTAAAAACTTTTTTAAGTATACTATTGTAATCCTTACTTATTATTAATAATATTATTGTATATAATTTTTTTTTTGGTCCAAGGCCATTGCATTTTTTGACAAATTACATGAAAATACCTAGATAATAAATGTTTTTTAAAGTTCTAGTTATGCAAAAGCTAGAAATGACAATATGAATAATACGGCAAAAATTAACGAATCAGTAAACATTTGAGTTTTTTGTTAGGGTTTTCATCTTCTTTAACTCTTCAAATGTCAACCATTCTTTAATTTTTTTTTCAGAATTTAAATAAATAAGAGTAAACAATTTTTTTCCACTTCTCATTTTCTTCATATTTTATTTATATTTAAATTTATACATAAGTGAATAAAATATTTGAGCATGAAAAAACCTATAGGAATGGATAAGAGTAATTTTTTATTTGCATGCAAATAAATGCTGAATCGATGAAACAAATGGGAAAGGCAAAAGAATACATTTTTTCTAATGTTGATTTTTGCATACTAGACCATCAATAGGTATATGGTATGTACTTTATTTGTGTGTGTATTGAGATTACTTTTTTGTCCAAATGATTTGTGACAAATTTCACAATCAAAAGATTTGCTACGCATATGTACAGTACTTATGTGTTTCTTGAGGTAACTTTTATCTCTAAATGATTTGCGACAAATATTACACTCAAATGGTTTGCTACGATTATGTACTGCATTTATGTGAGTTTTGAGGTGATTTTTATATCCAAATGATTTGTGACAAATGTCACATTCAAAGGGTTTGCTATGACCATGTACTTGGTTCACGTGACGTTTGAGAGTACCTTTTTCTCCAAATGATTTGCGACAAATATTACACTCGAATGGTTTACTACGATAATGTACTGTTCTTATGTGTCTTTTGAGATTACCCTTTTCTCCAAATGATTCATGACAAATTTCACATTCGAAGGGTTTAATTCGATCATGTACTGTTCTTATATGTTTTTTGAGATTACCATTTTCTCCAAATGATTCATGACAAATCTTACATTCAAAAGATTTGTTACGATCATGTATTACTTTTATGTGAATATTGAGGCGATTTTTGCGGCCAAATGATTTGTGACAAATGGCACATTCATGTCGTCTGATGCTCTTGTGGGTCGTATTGACATGTGTTTTTAAGTTTGCTTTTTCTTTATCCGTTATGCTACGCATTTTGTACTCATTAGATAATTTAGTTTGAGAAGCTTTTCTAACTATTTTAACTTTCTTATATTCTTTAAAATTCAATCGAGGATTTATTTGAAATTGACAGTTATTATAATAATCAAAATTCTTCCGTATCAAAATGATTAGACTTCTTTCAAAGTAACTGGTCTGAATTTTGTTTTCTATTTTTACATCAGGTAGGTAACTTTCATACTCAAATTTGCAGATTTTTGTTGAAAGAGACCGTAATTCAGGTTTGACATATTTGCACTCAAAATCTACAAATATTTTTTCATCAAACATTTCTTGTAACGCAATATTCTCATTTGTGTGATTTGCCTAAAATTAAAATTGTGTAACAGTTTTTGGTAGTGAGAAACTAGAACAGAATCTAAATTATTGAACTCACCGATGATTTATAAAACGAGAATGTTTTAACGTTTTTGACCTCGAGAAAATCCACTACATCGAACTTATAGTCGTCACCTGCATCTAGCCCAATATCGTTCAACTCGTCCTTTATCCTGAAGAATAAACACGTTTAATGAGGCGATTTCTTTAAAATAATGCACGACTTGCCCAAAAAATTTATACCTAACTGTATCCTTTCTGCTTTCCATTACTCGCTTAATTTTTTGCACTAAATGTGAATTTTCACTAAGTACAGGAAACTATTCGAGGTTATGTGCTTCGAGTAGTTAACACCGTATCTCAATAATAAATACTCGACCCATACTACTTTATTATTTGTAAGCACTTGCTTACCAAGAAATTTAGCTCTTAACCAGCGACTGAACGCGCTACCGAGTCGACCGCACAATTGTGATAAATCCTTGTCGATATTTCCCCCTCCACCGTTGACTGGCTGTACGCACTTATTTACAGCTATATTATACGTAAGCATTCTCAGTTCCAGGTCTAAATTTGGCTTACTCACACGAGTGATGTATACAGAAAAAGAATTCTCAAAAGAACAAAATATATTTTTGGATCTACTTCGATCTTTATTGAAAAACGTAGAAAAACGCCGAAAAAAAAACAAAAACAGTGGAAAATAGCAAAAAATGACTGAGCAAGCGAAAAAAGGTCTGCTTGCCTGGTGCCAGAAAATTGTAACAGAGGAGTTAGAGCTTTTTTTCGTGTCAAAGCATCCTTCGTTTATTCAATCGTATATAAGTCTTTTTCACGTACGCCACCGCTGGCCTCCAGGAAAATCAGTCAATGGACTAGTAGTGACGACTGTGTAATAGATCCTGTTGTGTTATTTTCAACTTTTTCGTTTTTTCTATTTTTTTCTCTCGCAGAGTTGAAGTAGATTTTGTACAGTGATTGTAAAAAAGGATCAATTAAGTTTTAAAACGAAATAAAAAATGTAGGGATTTGATATTTTAGAAGTTATACAGTGAAAACGAAATATCGTTTTCTTTTCATTTTTAGGAATGTTGCTCATAACTTTAGCAATCATGTAATTAAAAAAGATAGATTATAAGTATATAAATATAATAAGCGCCACGCCTCTCTCGCTAACATCGCTTAGTTGTTGGGAGCTTTCGTAAGAAATTCCGGAGAAACAAGAATTTTACAATAAATGAATGTAGTATTCAATGTATATAAACAATACAATTTTTTTTAGAAATGTAATTTAAATTTTAAGATTCAAAAAGTAGAATTTTTAGGAATTTTCCCTGCATCCATCATACGAATAAAGAAAAAATTTCGATCGAAAATCATGTACATAAAATTGCATTAGAGAATTAGGTCTAAACATAATATGCCTTAAAACGAGCCTTCACAAAAATGAGAAATAATTGTTATTAAAAGATGTGCGTGGTTTTTTTTGAAAATCAAATTGTAGAACTTGACACAGTTTAAGAGCTGGTTTTTGGAATATATGAGTAGTAATTTTAACAGCAAAAATAAGTTTTTTATTACCATTTATAAATAAAAGTAAGAGCTATAATTCTTTTATGAGGAAGTTCTTTGACAATGTATTGACAAATTGGTTTTTTATTATTTATTGCTAGTTTAGGATTATTCAGAAGCAAGGACTATAATCATCATTCTAATTAACTGGCAGTAATTTTTAATGGTCGACAAAAATATAAATAATTAGGCACACATTTTCGCGTTCCCATAATAATTCATCATTGAAATTGAAAAATCTCCGTATAAACTTTTTACCAATTTGGTTATAGTTTTAAATTAATTTTTCTCTATTTTTATCTTTCCACACTATATGAAATAGAAAAATATTGAAACTATTTACCTGTACTTAGTAATGATGAAAAAGATTTTATTCAAAGTAAAATTTTTTGTGGCAGTAGATGTTTAATTCATTTAAACTTTTAATTAAATAGCTAAAATGCTCAATCGGGAAAATTGTCTGGGGTTTCAATTGCTAAATATTCCTACAAGTATTGAGAAGGAAAAAAAATAAAAACCCAATTCCACGATCGTAGATGTTTTTTGCGTATTCAACATAAGCGTTAATTTTAATTCAGTCGGATATCGGACGTGAATTTGCATATACAAGCGAAACATGTGAAGAGAGTCAATAGCGGTCAAGCGAGATCGTGAGCTCAATCAACTAAGAGCCTTGAACAATCAAATATCATTTATAACTGGCCACTGGGAAACACTATAATATGTAAAGCATAATAAATGACGTAAAGCCTACTCAAGTTTGTAATTCATCACAGAACAAGAACTTGTACTACAATATAATGTAAGTAAGCGAATACATATACTATTGAAGAATATAAAATTTGGACGATATATGAGTGACTATTCAGTCTCGTATCGCGTTCGCGAAAGATTGGCTGAGCGTGAACTCGGGTTTTTTTCTTCGCACAACTTATCGTCTAATTTGCGACTCTTACGAACTTTGAATAAAAAAAAATAGTAATAAGATCAACACCCGCATACGAGCGCGCGCGAAAGTATAAATACTTTATCCCGTGACAGTCAGACGCGCTTATCGCATCATTCGAGGAGCAACGTACATGTGAAGTAATACTTTACAGCCAGTTGATAAGCCGTTTGACCGGAGAAGATCGTGTGCGCGTGTGCTTTCCACCCAGCTATTCTTGCGAGATATTCGCCGGACTGCTCTCCGTTTTAGTTTCTCTTTGTTGCTCGCGAAAAGAAGAAGGAAGCAGTAGCAACACGGAGGAGAGAATATTTTTCCGCAAAGATACATCCTTGGTCAAGTACAGCGACTCCACGACGAGCATCTATAGGCGCGCTCGCCATGTACCGAATCGCTTTATTGCTGCTGCTAATCAGCTCGGCGCAGGCCCAGCCGGCTAAACAGGACAAGCTCCGCACGATCTACGAGTGGAAATATTTAGATTACGAGTGGCAGTCCAAGGAACAAAAAGATTTTTACGTCAAGAATGGATTGTACGATCCGAGAAACATGACTCCGATCGATGTCGACTATTGGAATCCATGTAAATAAAAATTTTCTTTTTTTTGTAATTTTCGAAAATTATATACTTAATCTTCGTGACGAAAATTTATAATACCACTCCACGAAGGAAAAATTTATAGTGAATAAGAAAATGGTAATCGGTAAAAAAAGATTATTAATTGACGATAATTGATGATAGTTTTTTTAACGATCGAAACCGGCTTTACTACTATCGAGACGTATAGATGCAAACGTAAATAGAGAGCATAGATCGCGAACTTTGATCATTTTTATTCTAAAATCTTATTTACATCATTGACTAGTGTGATTCAACTACTTCGATGTGTTTTTTGTAATACGCTTTTGATACACAGCCGATTACATTGCCAAGACGTTCGTGACGGTTATCCGACAACCAGGTGTACCAGCGAGCGTTCACACCGTGAGCAATGTGCGCGGAGACGGAGGTTATCTGCTCAAGCCTTATCCCGACTGGACCTGGTACGACAGAGGCAGCGGCTGCAACGGAATTATCAGCACCTACAGAGTGGCAGTGAGTGAATGAGCACATCACCATAATGACCGCATTGCTTATCGTTATTATTCAAGCTCTTAGATACAAGAAAACGTGTCATGAAAATTTGAAAATTATGCCAAACTACTCATGAGTTATTTTAAAAATACTTGAATTGAGCTTCGGGGAAAAACTTTAAACAAAAATATCAGATCAGTCGTAATTATGGTCAATTTTGAATACTTTTTTTTTAACACCAGTCCAAGAACGCAGATACACTTTATGTAATGTTCACGACTATGATGCAAGACAAAGTTTTAAGTTTCAAATTTTCTCAAAAATATTTTCTGCTTTTCCATTTGAAATCAAGCAAAAACTTTGATATGCTTCGATCGGTACGAGGATAATTTTTCACTTCAATCGCGCAGATCGACCGGTTCCATCGCTTGTGGGTACTCGACACCGGCAAGATCGGCAGGCAGATAATGTGCCCCGCCAAGCTACTCGTCTTCGATCTGATCACGGACAAATTGATCTCGAAAATGGAGATCCCGCTTAACGTGTCGTACGCCAAGAACGGCGAGGGTCTCCTCGTGACGCCGATCGTCGAGACCTTCGGCCGCAGCCTGGACAACGTCACGGTCTACATGGCCGACGTGCAGGGATTCGGTATGGTCGTCTTGGATCCACAGTTCGGCTTCCATCGTCTCGAGGCCGACGTTTTCGGGCCCGAGCAGAGCCTCTCCAACTTCGAGATCGCCGACGAGCGATTCGACCTGCCCGATGGCGTGCTCGGCATGGCGCTCGGACCCAGGCTCCCGGGCAAGGAGAGAATACTGGCCTTCCGACCCTTGGCCTCGAGGTCCATGTACGCGGCCCACACCCAGGTCCTGCTGAGAAGCCGATACGGCGACACGATCAAGTATTATCGAGGCTTCAACGTACTGCCCAGCCAAGCCTCGGCCATGGCTTTCAGCGACGATGGAATTCTGTTTTATGGTTTGACCGGGCAAACGGGCATCGGTTGCTGGCACGCCAACGCGCCCATGGAAGCCAAATTCTTTGTAAGTCTAGATAAGTTTTACAATTCGATGATTGCAAGTGCCCGATCCAGATTATATTTATAAATTTGTTTTATTTTCAATCTGTCGCGCAGGACATTGCATTGGTCGATCGCGAGCGTCTGCAATTCGTCAGCGGCATGAAAGTCATCAATAAATTGAAGAACGGAAAGAGGGACGCAACGAAGCAACGAGTCTACATGATGTCGAATCGCCTGCAAAAGATCTACAACGCCAATATGAATTTCAACGAGGTCAACTTCCGTATCACGAGCATCGACGTTGACGATCTCGCTAGAGGAACCAGTTGCGAAAAGTTCCATTGATTATTATCCGATCTGAACAATTTTTTCCGCCTGCCGTATCCAATTTTACAACTTTGTACTATAAGAAAAAAAATGTTAATGAAGGAAGTGTTAAACGCGGGCCTGCATCATACGTAGAAAGTGGATCAATCGCTAATACGATGTATGTATCGTACCGTATAGATGGGTGGTATACGCTTTTATTGCCTCGAATGAAAATCATTTAGCCTTAAATCTCGATAGCCGTTGCGAGGAGAGCGCGAGCCTGTAGAGCTCTCGTCTTAGTCATGGAAATTTTTATACTTCTTTTCACTCATTATCAATAAACGTTCATTCGATTTTATTAGATTAGTATCTAAAAATGAAATTTTCACCGAACCTCCATTTATTTTTCCTAATAATATACGCCAACGTAATAAAAATCGACGCACCTAAATAAGTGAAAAAAGGAAAAATTCGGTGGTAATTATTGCAGATAGAGAGAAAGAAACGGCAAAGTCTTATGTCGTCTGCCGTATAGAATAGTTCCATCATCGTATAATGGAAGAGCTGTTCCGCCGCTGCTTCCTTCGGCGTCGCCAACGCCACCGCGAGCAAATGCAATTGCATCGGAGAACGAAGCGCGTTGCGAAAGTGTCCTTACCTAACGCGTACACATGCCGTATGCACATATAGCATCGCGCTGGCATGATATACACGAGTCGATTCTCTCACACGGAGCAGAAGAGAAAGACAAAGTATATTCTTCGAAAGACAGCGTAAAAGTCGCGCGCGCGCGCCAAGAGTGTGAATGACTGATTCTAACGAGTGCTGCATTCGATTCGTTAAACTTAATTGCACACGTGCATATATCGTATTGTACACACACACACACACATGGTAGCACACGATTCTCGTGTTTCGCGAGTCAGCTAGTTAACTTTGTCGTTGTCTTTTTTTCAATACTTTTTTTTCATTAGCTTATTCCTCGTCTTCTTCGAGAGCGTCTCGTGTCAGATATTTTATACAAGCGACAATTGCGCAAACGAGCGTGTACCATTCCATTTGAGCAGATGCGTCTATGTGTATGTGTAAAAGATACGTAATATACGTTTCAATGGGTGCGGATCGGTATTATAATGATTTTTGCACCCTCTCGTGACTCGAGATGCTTTCGAAAACTTATATCGTCACACTGTTACCCTACTACGCATTAGCAATGCGTTCAAATGTGATCGATGCACGGGAAAATGCAAGCAGCGATTCGGCTCCTCTTCGCGCTCAGATTCGCTTTGCTCGTAAGAAAAAAAGTCACTCCGATATTTATATAAATAGAGCTCGATGAGGCGCGACGTAGCCGCGACGCCGCATTATATCACCGCATCCGATTTCATTGTCCAGCCGGGGGACTCGGCGTAACGATTATGGCAAATTAGGCAACGCAGGCTAATACACGTAGACAGGCGACAACAATAAAGACATTGGCTTTTTATTATATCGAGCAGCTGTCTTGCTGGCCGCCTGGCATAATCTGGGAATACGCGTTTAGCGTATCGGCTACGGCTCGTTCTTATCATCTCTCTCTTTCTCGCCCGAGGCTTTCACTCAGTTTCGAGACGAGACTCGGACGCTTTGCACTGCCTTCGTTGTCGTCGTCGTCGTCGTTGTCAGTGACGGAGTTTCGCGAATGAGAGAAGAAAAGTTAATTTTTCCACGCGCTCGTGAACGCATTCTGCCAAGACTATCTTATCCGATCGGAAGTGATGAGAAATTGAACTCGAGTGCGAAGATGAATCGTCGATGTGGCGGCTCTATCTACTATTCTCGTGCCTATCCCAGCGTGTAATTTAAATCTCTTCTCCTAAGTGATATATTATAGTGCGCCAGCTCGGCGTTATTGTATAGCTTCAATTTACTTATACTTGTGATTATTCGGTAGCCGCGCACCTCTACATGAGTATAATATAAATTTATAATTGCACGTAGGCCGCCGCGGCTCGCTCGGCGCGATCGGCAGCGGTGCATCGTGTGTTGCGCGACGTGTACGGTGTAGCAGCATCGGCATATATCCTACATTAAATACGTACCGAGCGCATAAAACGAACGCTACCTGACTTTCCATCCGGGAGGAAAGGGAGAAAAGTCCGCGCGGCTGCGGCGGAAGGCGAACAACAACAACAACAACAACAACAGCAACGGCAACAGCTACGGCAGAAACAACATATCGCCACATACATACAGCAGGAGAGGCAGAAGCAACGATCACGGCGCGCGACCGATGTTCGCCGCGCGGAAAAATACTAAATGCATCGTACGTGTTATATTCTGCAGCTCTTGGGTGCCTCTACATATACACACAGCACACAGACACACACACAGACATATATATATAGCTATATTATAAGAGCGTACATATACGAAGTTTTATAAGACGAGCGAAGGCGAGAGAGTGCATCGAGATGTAAAAAAAGATTCCACTTCCGAGGCGCCGTGAAATCGCGTACACGCCAGCGCAGCGAGCATGCACACGAGCATTCTATACAAGTACTACATGTGTGCCTATATATGTATATGTACATAACGATATATACGCGAGTGTGTCGTGCGATTTTATATATGTGCAGTACCTGCAGCAGCAGCAGCAGCAGCGAGAGAGGCCCCGTAAAACTGGGTTACGAGCGTCGAGTTTGGTAGGCGCGATAATGTAATTGTCTCAGTCGCTCGGTACTGGTCAAGACGTTCGCGACACTACTACTGCCTACGCGCCTTTTTTTTCGTGCACCCGCGTAACAACATACAACGTTATATATAGACTTTGATAATTTTTTACTCCTTTCTTCTGGTTTCTTTCCTACACGCACGGCTTATTATAATTGAACTTTCGCGCTCGAGTGCCCAGCCTCTGGACACACTACAATGCAATATAATGCATGCATATCGCGTTGGCCATACTTGGGCTATTTTCTATTGGGCGCGAACGTAGCGTAACGCATACATCTAGACATCGTTCGCCTATTCGCACTGCACACGTAAGTGCGCTGCTACACACAATGCATATGGCCTGTGCGGTCTATAACGCGAACAAATTCTCGTAGTTTCGCGTCGGATGCCGGACTGGAATATCGCGCGTGTGGTTTTTTTTTTTTTGGTTTTCATTCGTCGGGTGCACTGCTGCTCGATACGAGCTCTCTGCTCTCTAATGCACAGGTGTACCTCGTTGCAGTGTAGATATCGTTTTTGTGGTTCTTGCGATACATAAAAAAATCTAAATAATAATGAACCTATGAATCAAAATTTGAGTGTGCGCGGGTGAAAAGGTATCTTCTGGCCGAGAGCATGCGCGATCATGTTTCAGAAATATCGAAGAAAAACGCACGGAAGAAGTCGCAAGCACCGGATCCGAACACCGACGACGACGTCGAGGAGTAGCAGCAGCGACAGAGTAAGACGGAAACTCGAGAGCGAACTGGACTCTGCCCACGTCGCGAATCTCTGGCACTCCGATCCGGATCCGATCTACCGATATCATCAGGACTTTGTCGACAAGTATTACGGCGCTCAGCCGTGGAACTATCCACCGAAGCCATGTGAGTAGTAAATCATCCTTGCGATAATTTACGCGCATCTGTGCAGCGCAATAAATATTAAAAAAAAACGTCGTTTTACCGCCGTGAAGTTTCAATTTTAAACAATGTATACATTATGTGTACGACGCGGTACCTAACAATAATTACCGCGTGTACATATAATGTATACAAAAAGTAAAAGTGAACGTAGCAGCCCCGCGATAGATACACAAAACGCAGTCCAGATTGCTTTATAATTCCATGCTACATCTACTCTCTTGAGGGGGACGCTCGCCTGCACTTGGTAATTACGGCGAAAATTTATCGATAATTGAGAGACTATAGTCGAAAATGAGATTGTCGTGCGGTGCCGCTTTTTTATCTTCCTCTCTTCCTCTGCACATCCGAAAGTAATCGGTCGCGCCGTATAATAATGTGCCGCGTGCAGCTGCAGCAGACTCATCTCGCGCGCGCGCGCCTCTCTGATGGTTATTATGCAAGTGAAAATTGAATAGAAAAGCGACGGCAGGACTCGGCTATTATTTTCCTATATATTATGGCGTCGCGATACAAGTCTACTCTTCTTTTTTTTTTTACTTCGTTCTCGTTCAATGGCGAGATGGCACTAAGTAGGTTTTAATTCTAAAGGATCGCGAGCGAAACTTTCTGAATGAGAAACTTCTCACTGTAAGACTGGAGGTCTTTTCGATGGCGAAGCAGCTCGCCGAATGACACATCCGAGCGATAAATATTCGTGCTACACGTACTACGTGCTCCGTATAATGCAGCACAACGTCGAACAGATTGCGTGCGCCAAACGCTTTCCCATTGAGGAGGTACATTGCCAATGACCCATCGCTAAATGAGCTGCACACACAGTGCAGAGCATCGTCAGCCGCAAGGATGCGCGCATACATAGAATATATCTAAAGAATAGCTGCCTGTAGCCCGAGTAAGAGCGGAGAGAGAGAGAGAGAGTATAGGAAAGAAGGGCGACCCGCGAAAATCTTGTTTTCGCATTAGGATACGTATAGATATATTGCTCGCGCTCGCCGAGAGGACTCTCTCCGTCTCGCGTTGCCCTATCCCCGATAGTTCGTCTATGTAGCCAAGAGTCGAGACAGAGAAGACAGATTGAGAGAGAGAGAGAGGAATCCTCTAGACGCGATAGACACTACACTCACGATTTCTATATGCGCGAGAGGTTCATCCGCGGAGCCGCTGCGCGCGCGAAACTCGAGTGCTTTTATATATATCCCGCACGAGCAGCTCGGTGCAGGATAGAAGAAAGTTTGCACGCGGACCGGCGGCACACGCCAACGAAACACAAACGTCTCGTCGTCGTCGTCGTCGTCGTCTCTCACGCGCAGCGGCGCACCACCTTAGTGCCATTCCTAAACGAGTATTCGGCACATCCGAATCGCGCGATCACCGCGGCTGCACACGTACGCGCGCGCCCGATACATTTTATCACCCATCGAGTTCAAAGTGCACCGATTTCATTCGATATACGCATACATAATCGAGTACGTCTCGTTCGTCCTATTTTTAATATAATTAATTAATTATTATCGCGTGTCGACGTTATACAATTTTTGACACAGTGCTGGTGAAATTCAACGACTGAAACGAACCGATATAACGCGTTTATTATACGTCAACGGTGCGGGTTGTAATTTTTTTCCTCCCACATACACAATTAACGCATTGCCGTTCCCTTCTGGAATTGCAGGGATGGCAAACAACATAGTGCCGTGGCTGGTGACGCTGTCGCTTCTGGGCTTTCAGGATCTGGCCGATACCACGAGCCGGCCGAATTCTCAAATATCGCAGGAGCTGGAGGCACCGCCGTTGCCGTCCATCACGTCGTCTCCCGTCACTGATTTTGTCATGGTGAGTACTGTTCTCTCTCTCTCTCTCTTTTTCTCTGTTTTTCTCTCGCTCTCGGTGATATAATAATTACGCACGATATCTAAAAAAAATATATTTAATCGGATCATTGAAGGTTGAAATTTTATTTAGACGAAGAGGCGCAAAAGTCAAATGGTCGAAATGCGAGAAACGCGAGCGAGTGCTATTTACGAGCGATTGTTTGGCCCGCAACGGGCGAGGAGCTCACGTGCATCGTATACATACACAAACGCGACGGGACGAAAAATTAAGGACAGGATATTTTACGATCGTGATCCTTGTTGCGCGTATCGGAGAAATCGATCTCATATTATTCGGCTGTCTGCCATTTGGATTGTGATTTTTTTCGCCTATTGTCTACCGACTGTATAACATATAATACGAGCACCGAACATATGAAACGTGATGTACGTGAGTTGCGTAAATATCGCCTTTATATCTTTACATCTCGTTTTTGATCTTGCGCTCTTTGTGTTCGCATCGTCGTTGGACTTGTATAGCTTCTCTCCCGATGTATCATAAGATACGCGAGCCGAAAAAAGTTCCGATTTATGATCGATATCGCCGTATACCGAGTCAAGGATCAATAAATACATTGATGAAATTTCCTCAAGCCAACGACTGCATCCTTCGACGATCCGGCGTTTGGGCAGGAGGAGCCGCCGGCCCACTCGGATTGCGACTTTCCGAGCAACCACAATTACGATAACGTCGAGGGCTCCAAGATAACCAAGAGGCCGCACGGCTTTCAGATAGATCCGAATTTTTCCTCTACCCAATCGAATCACCTCGACACGAAGAAGAAGGAGCGCAACTTGGACAATCAAAAGGGAGTCAACTCCAACAGCATCGTTCAAACTCCCAAGAACAGCAATCGCTTGAATCAAAGTGAAAGGTTTTACAATCCCAGTCACTCTTTCAAGCCTCCGAAGGATAGTGGATTTAAAGACGAATATGCCGGACCAGCCATGGAATTGGTAAGCCGAGGAGTTTTTTTAAATTTTTTTCTTCGTTACAGGCTAACCTCGTTGGGATTTTTTGCTTTCGAAGGCTTATTATTGGAAAACAGTCGACTACGAATTCGACAACGACGAAGACCGTCGAAGTCTACTGTACGCGGGTACGTTCATCCCCGAAAACAATCTACCTCTGGGTCTTGAGATTTCCAAAGACCGAATTTTCGTGAGTTTGCCGAGGTGGAAGAAGGGAATACCTGCTACTTTAGCGACTATATCGACCAATTCTGATGACAGGAGCCCAAAACTAAAACCGTACCCAGACTGGAGATGGCACCATCTAGGTATACTCACATACCGAATTGTTAAAAACTTGAGAAAAATTTGATAATAAAAACAAATAATTGAATATCCGCAGGTAACTGCCAGGGTTTGACATCTGTCTTCAGAATGCAAATAGACGACTGCGACCGTTTGTGGGTATTGGATTCGGGTAAAATAGACATCACTACCGAACCCAAACAGATCTGTCCACCGACCATCTTTGTATTCGACTTGTACACCGACGAATTGATCAAAGCTTACACATTGCCACCCGACCAGATAAAAGAAGACTCGCTCTACTCGAACATCATAGTCGACGTGAAAAACGACGAGTGCGAGCGAGCCGTTGCCTACGCCGCCGACGTTTGGCGATTCGGTCTCGTGGTCTACGACTTTTTCAACGACTCGTCCTATCGCCTTCAGCATCATTACTTCTTCCCCGACCCACTGTCGTCCAAGTTCAATTTGCACGGACTCGAATTCCAATGGACCGACGGCCTCTTTGGCCTGGCCCTGACCCCTGTCGACGTCAACTACGAAAAGACCATGTTCTTCCACCCTATGTCGAGTTTTCGCGAATTCGCCGTACCCCTGTCGGCTCTGCGAGATCAGAGAACCGCCGAGAACAGCTCGGACAAGTTCGTGCCCGTCGGCAAGCCGCGCGCCAAGGACTACGGACACTCGTCGGGCTCGACGATCGATCGCAACGGCGTCATGTTCTTCAACATGGTCACGAGGGACTCGGTCTGGTGCTGGGACACGAGAAAGGAGTACATACCCCAGAATCTGGGCGTCGTGGGGGCCAGCAACATCTCTCTCGTCTTTCCCAACGACATACGAATGGACCACGAGGAGGATCAGAATCTCTGGGTGCTGTCCAACCGACTGCCCATGTACCTGTACGGCTACTTGAACAAGAACGAAGTTAATTTCCGAATTCTCAAAGCCAGTGCCAAGGAAGCTGTGAAGAATACGGTGTGCGACCCCAATTACATCGTGCCAGATTCATTGCCTAGCCTCGATGTCACCTGCTAAGCACTATATTATAATTACTCAATTCGCGAGCTATTCATTAAAACGACCTGCTACACGACAATCGGTACAAAACGATTTTTCATCTTGCGGTCGATGAAAATATGAATATTTCGTATTTTACTTACATTATAGATGAAAAAATAAACTATCATGTATTAGTTATCTATGTACCTGTAATGACAACGATGTACTTAATTGTATTATAGCCCGTAAGATTGACCGAGATCAAACCTCAAACGTATTTATAATATGTAAGTTAAGTAAGTTTTGCAATAATTGTTGCCATCTAATGTACGTTGTTATAATAAACATTTTTTTGTAAAAAAAATTAAATATAATTACAGAGCTTACTGAAAAATCAAATCGCTGGAAAATCCTCCATATCACTGTTGGAGACGGATGCTGGTAATTTTTTTCTTCCATAACCGTAATCTTCTTGTACGGTGTTTAAACTTTCCTCGCTGTCTTTATTCCAATTTTGTATTGTCCTGTCAATGCTTTCCGATGATTCCAAATACTGTCGATGTTCTTCCAATTTCTCTTGAGAACGAGTCGTTCTGGCGCGGAATGTCGGCAAAATCGGGGTCTGTCGAACCTTCTCCACTCGTGAAGCTGGTGCAGCATCTGGTACTGGAGATTGATGTGAGCAACAGCTATCGAAATTACGAGCCCCGTCGTGGCTAATATGGTTCGTCATCATAACAATTTTTGGCTCACGCATGAACTTCTTCATTTCCAGCTCGTCGAATTTTGATGTTTTTTTATGTTTTTGCGCGTCCCTAAGAGTTTTATCGCTCGGCTTGAAATTGAATGCTCGATCAAACTCATCACTGTCTTCGCTATCGTCCTTATCGATCAATGATATGTACTTTGACAGCAGATTTTCTTTGTCGTTCTTTCCATTGCTTGTTTGTAATTGATTCAAATTGCTGGTCCCAGCATCACCGAAATCGTCTTCAAGATTTTTCATTTCTCTGTAAATCTTATCGCTCTTTTTCTTCAGATCATCTAAGGAGGCCTTGTAATCGGCTATATTGGTCGCCAATTGTTGGGAGCTTGATCCGGTGATGACATCGAGAGTCTGCTTCGAGGAATCTATTAAATCCTGTAATTCTTTGAGCAAATCGACCGAGGCATTTTTGCGACGTATGAATTCATCGGTGTGCTCGGTTCGCACTTCAGCAGTTGCCTGCGAAAAATTTCTCGTATCACCGCCACCCATCAGTAAAGGTTCGTCGTTACCAAAAAGGTAAAAACCATCGTCGCTAAAATCAGGCTCCGAATTCTGTTGAGGACGAATCTCAGCTAAATTGCGCCAATCACTGGCTTTAAACACTTCATCGATGGTTAAGCTTACGCTCTGGAAAATTGGGTAGGGCTCGTTAGCCTCCGGGCCCATCTGGAAACCGCGCTTGCTATCGTCACAAAATGAAAATGCACTTTGCAACATATATAGCGTATCGCTGTCGGTTAATACTCGTGTCTCCGGAACGTGGCTGCTGTTCGAACTCGGAAATACTGGACTGCTTTTGTTCGAGTTGGACGTTTGTGGTTCCAAGGAAAAATCGATTTGCTCAACAGTATTACGAAATTCACTCTTTCGGGGACGATCGAATTCATCTTCGTCTGTGCTTGAACCCGCGAGAAAATCGGCTTGCTGAGATTGATTGTTTGTCGGAGCTTTGCCCTGATTCCATTTCAACCAGTTGACATCGCAATTGTGATCGCTTCTATCGTCCACAAAAAATAACATGGTAGAACTATCTGTGTCAATTTCAAACGACTCGCTACTACTTGGCAAAAATTCCTCATGACTTTCCGGCAACTTTTCAAATGGGCTAATTTTCGGCTTGTTCAACGAAAGGCCGTTATTAGTGTAATTCGTTATCATCGATTTTTTTCTCTTTTGCGATGTTTCGGCCTTACTTAATTCGTTATTCAGATCATCGTGCGATTTGAGAGCCATTGCTTGTTGTTTCTGACCATTTTTCGATTGATTCATCGATTCGGGAAAATTCGCTACTGAACTGTGGGATCGACTTGTTTTATGATTTGTCCTATTGTTAAAACCTAATTGGTCCTGTCGATCGCCCTCGGGCAACGACATTCTTGGTCTTGTAGGACTTTCTTCGTCGCTGTCATTCTTGAAATCTTCAAGATGCTTTTCATCGTCATTCATTTTCGAGGTACTGGGTTGATCGTTGAGAAGCGAGTTTCTTCCTCTGCATTTCTGCGGCGGTCGATCATTGTAGTTCATATTAGCATAGAGCTTTTCCAAAAAACCGGCATTTTCCTTCATCAACGTTTGCAAGTCCTGCGTGCCATCGTTATTAAAAGCGTAATGAGTAGAAAGATCGGCGACTATCACCGCAGGTAGAATATTCTCCAACATACGATTCCGAGAGCTGGTGCAGTTGTTCACTTGGAAAAAATTCGCTTGGATATTAGTTTCTATCGATATAATTGGTTTGCTAGCCAACTCCTCCCGGTCGTCACTTTGACGCGTTATTTTTTTCGAAACGGAAAGGACCAAGTCTTCGCTCTCTCGCTCCGAATCGGAACTTGGAGCGCTACAATCGCAAGATTTCTTCTCTGCCATCTGATCTACGGAATTGGGCGGAACAACCAAACATTTATTTTGCTCTGACACACTCGAGCTTTCAGAGTCACTTTCCAAGCTTCTGTTAGTCAAAGTACTGTCGTTAATGGAGTTGCTGCACATTCTCGATTCTGATTTTTGTTTTCGAGCTTCTTCCACTTCTTGCTTGGTCAAATTGAGTATTATCATCGATTTCTCTGCCGGTGTCAGGTAAACAGAGTCACTGGTTGTAGAATTGTCGTCGATCTCATTGACTCGATTCGCGATCTCCGTCGTCAGGGATTCTAGCGACTTGGCCCGTTTCAGTTTTTGCAAAACCGAATCGGAGTTGATAAATTCTTGCAAGTAATTGTGAAGATCGGGATTGCTCGAATGTAATTTCGATCTTCTGGGTAAGGCTCCGTGTGCGATACGCAGCCTCGAGTTCTCGATGTCGCGCAGATCGATGTAGAACATCAAGAACATGTACCAGTGGTACCAGGCAAACACTGAAAATAAGTGCAATTATAAGGCTCCACGAGTTCACGAGTAATAAAATTGAAAAAAAAATGGCACTCCGTAGATTGCTTACGAATATTAATGGACTCGACGACGAGAAATTCCGTAAGCGACGCCGTCGATATGACGCGAGCCGAGTAAAAGACGAAGGCGACGGTGATCGTCATGAGCTTGGGCAGGACGGTGTTGATCGCGTGGGTGACGAGCCACGGCACCAGCAGACCCGAGCCTCTCCACGTGATTACCGGATACAGCTTCAGCAGGTAGGTCGCCGGATTTATCATGCCGCACGAGAAGTTGACTATCACGATGAAGCCGAGCACTGCGTTAACACAAAAACGAACGACCATCAGTTTTGCTGCATGTTTCGAATTTCAAAATGCCAATATACCGACGTTTTTTCATGCTATTGGCGAATCCATCGCTGAGCTCGACGCCGTTCACCGAGATCGCCAGGTCCTTGATGGAGTTCAGCCTCAACATGAGCTCGAACGGTTTCCAATGCAGCGTGCTGTTGGCCTGACGAGTTCGAATTGATGTTTTTTTGAACGTAAATAAATAGACGATAAAATGAAATATGCCAGGGAATAAAATTGCCACACTAGTCCCAGCAGCGTCATGATGAGAAGCTCGTTCTGCAGTGATACGCCGAAAAGTCTTCCGAGTATTCCCGTCATCGAGGTAGGATTGAGTTTTACATCTCGCGCGTCAAATGGATTCCGATTATTCCACGCTTGGCATCTCTCGCCCACGCGATCCAAGTACTATTTTTTCGAGATGAAAATGTTTACGAATAATTTTGAGGTTACCGATGACATGATTTTTATTAGTTATAGTTATTGAAAATTAAACCACTGGTGTCTATCGCGGGTAAATATGATAAAACAACTGAACGAATTTGGCGAGATTATTCTAGGACTATATCGATAAATTTGTTACATCATCGCGCGGGTCTGTGTCACGACTCACGCATTGTTCAAACTTGTAATGTCACTTTTCATTAATACGACTTCACGCTCTATAATTTTATGGAAAAAATCAATGGCATCGGCGGTTGAACCGTCGCGCGCGTACAAACGAGTAGAACGACGACCTTTTTTATCGACTCAAGAATCGTGATCAATCGAGATGTATATGTCTGCCGGTGCACTCGCTCGGTGGAGCTAGTCTCGCTCGTGTAACGGTCGACACGTCCCGCCGCCACCGGCCCAAGCTGCAGCACTGCCTTGTGCCTTCTCTACCGCGTATTTCTACACGTGCTAGCAAGCTATCTACGTGTTGTACAGTGAAGATACGTTAATTTGTTGAAATTTTTAACACTTTTCAGTGGTAAGTGACAAGTATTCAAATTATTATTTAACATTGTTATTCCTAGCGATAAAATTGAGTTATTAAAATTGAAGCTATTTCTTTACGAGCAATTGTCGACTCGAGGTAAAGTGCACGTGCTACTCCTCAATCGATTTAAGGTTAAATTTAAATCATTCAGCACTCGAAAAATCATTCAATTAATTTAAAAGCAACTCTTAGAATTTACAAAATTAATTAAACTTTTATCTGTTGTATGCAATATTTTTTTAATCGTAAGAAAATGATTCAATTTTATCAAAGAACTTCACATGATTATTATCTTGAAAATACCAATGGATCCTTATGAGATACCTTGATTATAAATTTTATTATGAAGCCTTACTTGTTTAACACCAATCTTAATTATAGTAAGTAATTTGAAATTAAACAAATGATATTCATTTTTCCAGTTCACATATCAAACATGGTGCGTCTTGCTAAAAAAGAAACTACAGAGAAAAAGATCGTCTCAAAAAGCGTAGTTGAGAAAGTTGAAAAAACAAAAAACAAATTGCAAAATGCTATGAGTAAGAAGCAGAAAAAGGTTCTGTCCAAAAATTTTATACGATTACCAGAGGTAGAAGACATAGGAAAAGAGAAAACTCCAAAGAGCTTAGTTTCAAAAGCATTTCAACCTAAAGTTAAATTGAATAAAAAAAAATCAAACGGTATTGAGAAAAATGATGTCTCAAAACCTGTCATTCAAGAAACAAATAAAACAAACAAGAAAACCAATGTTACGAGTAATAAACAACAAAAATTACCAACAAAAGTTGTAGCACCAGTAACGAAAGCAGAAAAGGAAAAGAAAAGTCAAGTAGCAACTGGAAAAACTTCTACAAGCTCTGCTTCAAATGGGTCTCAAACCAAAAGCCTTTCAAATAAGAAAATGGCTAAAACAAATGGTGTTGAGAAAAAAGATGTCTTAAAAGGTGTAGCTACGAAGATTGAGAAAACCAAAAACAAATCATCAAATGTTCTAAACAAGAAACAGGAAATGTTAGCAAAAAATATTGCCAGTTCTATTTCAAAAGGACCTCAGCTTAAAAGCCAATCAAAGAAACAAATGGGTGAGGCAAAGAATGTTGAGAAAAAAGATACCTCAAAACCTGTCATTAAAAAAATTGAGGTAATAGAAAACAAAATAACTAATGTTGGGAAAAAGAAACAGAAAAAATCAGCACCAAAAAATGCTGCATCAGTACCAAAAGCTGATAAAGTAGCAACAGAAGAAATTCTGACAAGCTGTACTTCTGAAGAGTCTCAATCTGATAGTCTATTAAATAAAAAAATGCTTTTGAAATGTGTTCAAGCACTTCTAAAAGTTTCATCAAGTGCTGAAGAACAAAAGAAAAATTTATTCCAAGACGAAGCATCAAAAATTCATCTTCAAATTGTTAGTATCAAAGTACCAAAAGTCCCACTTCATCAACACAGAATGTAAGTTTTATTATCTTTAAATATTTTTATTAGCTATAATTGTATTATTTTCACATGATTATTTTCTTAAAAATACCAATGGATCCTTATGAGATTACTTGATTATATCTTTATTATGAAGCATTATTTCTTAATATTAATCATAATTTAAGTATATTATTACTATCCTAATAGAAAAAATGTATTTTTTCAGTACACTACCTAACAGTTTGGTCACATCAACTGATGATGTTGCATTATTTGTAGCAGATTTGAATCGTGGACGAAAAAGACCGGTTAAAGATAGTATTGACCATGCTCAAGATTTCTTGAAAGCACAAGGTGTTGAACGTCCTATTGCAGTTTATTCAATTAATCAAGTGAAAACTGAGTTCAGAGAATTTGAATTAAGGCGAAAACTTGTACACTCCCATGATTTCTTTTTGGTTGATGGCCGAATTGCTGGACATATGTCTCATTTGTTAGGTAAACAATTTAGGCTAAAAAGAAAATGTCCAGTGCCAATCCATTTTGATAAATCAGTAAAAGAAGAAATCAATAGGGCCTTGCATAAAACAACCTTGCAAATTCATGCTGTTGGAAATTCCAGTACTGTTGAAATTGGTCATACTGCAATGAGCCCTAAACAAATCATTCAAAATATATTGGCAGTAGCTGATGATTTGGCTAAACATTTCCCTGGTGGTTGGGAAAATATTAGTGCTCTGAGAATAAAAACTCCTCTGAGTTTGTCTATTCCTATTTATATGTCATTAAGTATGTATTTTTTAACATATACACTCAAATTGAAGTTTATATTAACAAAACCACTAATTTTGAAACTAATTATTTGTTTTCAGAAAATAAAAATGATGTACCAGTACCTGTAATAGAGCCTAAACGACCAAAGAATTATAAAGAAGTTGAAGGAGAATTGTCAACTTATAAATCAAATGTAAAAGTTTTGGTCGCACCTGATGGTACATGTATGGTCCTGAAAAAAGAAAATGAAAAGAAAACCAATGAAAGTGAAGCTAAAAAAAATGAAAAAGCAAGTGCCAATAAATTAGATGAAGAAGATGATTGTATGTCTGAGGATTCCAATGAGGACGATGAATCTCTAGATATTGATTCCGATGATTTGGATGATTCTGATCAGGTTGAGAATGAGGACGATGACGATGAAGATGATGATGATGATGATGATGATGATGATGATGATGAAGACGAAGATGATGATGAGGAGGATGATGAAGATGATGAGGACGATGATGATGAAGACGATGAATCTGATCAATCCATAGATATGGATTCTGATTCTGATGAATAATCACTTTCTGATGACTTATCAACACTAGCTGTCTTATGACTTGTAAATTTGTAAATATATCTATAAGTAGTTAGATGAAAACAAAAAATAAATTAACCAATTTTATAAAAATGACACACATTTTATTCCTTGATATATTCCTATGAATTTATCAGTTACTTTTTTATTTCATTTAAGCTTCATAAGAGCTTGTTTTAGATCATTACATAATATTCTTTTTTGGTAAGAGTTCAGCCAAGGGTGAAGTCAATTTTTTTTTAAATTTGAAGCCTATAAAGTTTGGTAATCTCCATGACTACAATTCTTTTTGAATAAATTTTCAACTATTAACAACATGTTTATGAATTAATGTAATTTCTGTATTAAGAAGAAAGCTTCTATAATATCTAAGTCTTAGTCATTTGCTAATAAAACCCAATTTGTTAAAATTTTAATTTTCTGCATTTTGGTTAGGAGCTAAGTGGGGCATAATTTAGAGAGTACTAAACTACAACAGGTCAATCAACCCGAACTTATCGTTTACCTTTGCAATATTATAAAACTTTTTAAACGATCAGGCGATCATTCTCATTTGCGCAAGGACATATTGTTTAATTCTTCTGCTCTGCATGCACAAATATATTTACCTGTCGTGCGCATCACAATTATATATAGTATGTAAAACTATGTTCGAAATCGAACTAGTGGCGGGTTCGTGCATGATGTTTACAGTGGTTCCCCTCCACTGCACTTACTCAGCTGCAAAGCAATATAGTAGACGATAATAATGTGAAATCGTGTGCAAACGTGTGTGCAGTGTGCCATCGTTGATCGTGCAAGCTTCGAAAATTCAATTGTACACGCACGGTATACCTTAACCTTAGAGCGATTTTTTTCTATCAATTCAAAAATAATACAAGTGCTCCGAAAAAATCATAAGTAATTTACTGATATAACATGTCATCGAGTGGCGTACTCGCGATTATAGTCTGTGCCTTGTGAAATATCAATGCGTGAAACAGCTGACTTGTTATTTCGCTCAGTTCGGTTTGAATGAAAATGATTATGACGACAAAGTCGTTAATTGGGAGAAGATTCATCTTTTTGTTGAGATCGTTCGCAGTTACTAAGCATAAGGACCACATAAGAATTCCCACTTATAGATTTTCTACGTCGTCCCTGAAATTTAATCCTAGACTGACATTGAGTAATTATTTCATGAAATTTAACTTTAACAAATCAGTAAAGCTCAATATTTTTATTATTGACATAATTTATTTTGATAATTTATAGGAGCTGCTCCAGTGGAAGTCCCAATGAAATCAATCATGTCTCAGAGTGAATTGTTAGAAATTCTTGTCACTGACAACGATCCAGATAGGCTTCTTCAAAACATTCAGTCTAACATGGATCTTGTTGAAGGGCAACATATTGTTACAGCCCTGAAAAGCATGCAGCAATTCTACAAGGAAAATAGACATATTACTTTTGAAGAAGTTAAAAAAAGTATTCACTTCAACAAAATGCTGATGATTTTAGAAAAGAATATGACTAGGTTGAGTTTACCTCAAGTTGTGCAAACTTTTAGAGTACTGCAATTCTTCAAAGTTCAAAGCAATTCTAACATATTTCAATCAATTCTACAACTAATAAGAAATTCCATTAATGAATTGGAATTAAATCACATTTATTCTTTAAATAATAGATTAAAAACTATGAATCCAACTTTTTTAAGTGAAGCAATAAGAACTGCTTTGCCAGAAGTTTTCAAAGCTCAGGTTATGCTAAAAGTAGACAGAGATCATGTTAATGAATTAAAAAGTGCACTTTGGTACATGACTGAGGAAAAAATACAAAATGAACAAATTTTAAATTACATTTTTGATGGTCTCGAAAAGCATAAAACAAATTTAAATCCAATTGCAGCCAAACATATTTATTTATCCATGTGCTCTTTGGAACCAATATCACCTAAACACATGGATATTGTTATTGCTGCTCAAAATTTAATTTTGGATAACTGTGAAATGTTTAAAACACATGAAAAAGTGTGTATTGTAATTGAAACATTGAAAATGGTTGCATCTGGGCAAGTATTTAATATATCAACATTTATTCATATTAATAATTCGTGTATTGACTGTACTTTTCATTCCAAATATTGAAACTAAATTATCAATATTTATTTTTAGAAAAGAAGAATTTTATAATCCAATACTCATAGATAATTTATTGAAGCATTGCATTCAAGAAGATTTGGATTATAAACCAGCGATGTACATTTTAAATTCTTTGAATAAGCTGCACCATATTAATCAACATTTATTAGAATATTTATCACATATTTGTTGTGAGAATCCACCATTACTCAATACACATCCACTGAATGTTTCAACTCTCCTGCATGGTTTATCTAATGCTAATTATAAACCATCTTCATGGAAAAAATTGCAAAAAGTTTCATTAGAACATATCTATCTGTTACCAAATGATGTGACTTTAGCTTACTGTGCTCTGCACTTGTTGGCACTAGATTGTTTTGACTCAAAATTAATCAGTCATATTTTTGCTATACATCAAATTCCTAGATTTTTATCTCCAACATATCACAAAACACTTGCTACTCTTTACCAAAGCGTAAAGACTTTGTATCCTGAATATACAGGTCCATGGCCAGAAAATAAATTAATTGATTCATTCAAGACAATATTTTCTTCTAACGAAACAAAGCAGAATTTACTACTACCATTACTTCAACACATCGTGGGAACACCAAATTGTATAAAAAACAATGTAAAGACTGAATTAGGGCATAACATAGGTAAAACATTATATTTACTTCTGTAGATTGTAAATAACTTAAAAATTCAACACTTGAAGTAATGAAATATATTTCTTCTATAGATCACCTTGTGATTTTACAAAATGACAAGCCTATTGCCATAAATTCCACATCTACAGATTCAGGAGAATCTCCAAGGATACAAGATCTGATAATTCCAGAAGACTGTACCAGGTGCGTTCATCAGAAAAAATAGCACGAAAAAATTATTTTGAATTTCAATCACTAAATATTTTTATATATATCACAGGGTCGCAATTATGATTCAGCCGACTGAGTTATTTGGACGAAATATTAAAGTCTTACGAGCGTCTGTTTTGCTGAGTCTTCGATCATTGGAAGCTATGTCCTACAAAGTGGTCAAAGTATCCGAAGAATTGTGGCAGTCAATGCCAGAGTATGAGAGAATACCATATTTAAAAACAGAAATAGGGTTGAAATAAGTTGATTGAATTGGTTCTGTATAGTGGTGGAGTATCATCCTAAGACAGTAACTCCAATTTTCAAATACATCTTGTAAATAATTAATGGAAAAACTGAAATAGATTTTTTATCAATGCTGTTTGTACATCTTGAAAAATAATCGAATGAATCATGTAAAAATCAAATGCCATATACATGTTATATAAAAAATCTTTTTTAATCATACAAAAAAACATCGTACAAAAATTCGTATAAAAAAACGTATATACACAATACAGAATACATCGCTATAAAATATCTACAACTCGAGGCTATTTATAAGTAATTCCGAGACTTGTTGCTAATCGATAATTATAAAAAAACAAGCGTACAACTTTTGATACGAAACATTTTCATATTAAAATGAAGAAACGGCAATTTTGAAATTCTCGTTGCACGATATCAACGAGGCACAGAATAGCCAAATCGCGAGGATCTGTCTTGTTCATCGCTACCATATACTAATAAAAAACAATTATTTTGAAATTAAAGCTTTCGGATTTTCTATTACGATCTTGCTCGTAATGTGTAATGATTAATCTCGACATCGACATCGATTAGCCTCCATAGATCGCTGTCCTAGTTGATGTACAATATTGGTCGTTGGCACACTTGAGTTAATTAAAATTATAAATGGTACAAAAGACAAAAAAAAAATCAACAAAAATGAAAGAGAATAAAAGCTCAAACGTTCGCAATCATCAGCATCATCATCATTATCGTCATCGTAATTATCACTCTCTTTTAAAAATTAATTATTAAAAAAAGGAAAAAAAGAAGGAGGTAAAGCTCCCGTGGTTATTGATGGCTCGTATATCACGTTCTCATCAGTGGGTCTTCTTCTTTTTCTCCTTTTCTATCTCTCTTTCTTTCTTTCTTTTTTTTTTGTTTATTTCTTTAAATCGATCGCGAGCTGGCGGTGTCGTTAACATTGCTCTCGGCGGCGTCGTAGAAGGACGGTGTCAAATCGCCTTCGAGCTGGCTCACGCTCTCGGACGTCACGTCGTACATGAAGATCGCTTGATCGGCTTGGCTGCCAGCAGGGCTCTCGCGTGGCCTGAAACACATGAGGAGAAAAATGCGCGCATAAATAATTGTGTCCAAACTTTCGCAATAATCTTGAAATTTCGTCCTAAATTTATTCGCCGAAAAGTATCCCAAGGACGGTCGAAGAGCGATCGCTTCGAAAAACGAGTATATAATGTGAAAAAAAAAAAATAAAAAAGGAAAAAAAAAGATCGAGGGAAGAGAAACAAAAGATCGGAGGAGAGAAGCCGACCGACCGGAGTATCCACCAAATACATTAAATTTCGTAATTACTGCGAGACGAATCCGATACATCTGGTTTTCATTTCATCATTTTATGCATAAGTATAACATATATTTGTGCGCCCGGATCACCTTCTCGCGGTCGTTCTTTCTCTTTATTTTTTATTTTATTTTCTTGTTAACCCCGTGAGCGAGATAAAAAAAAAGGAAGGTTTTACATAATTCCGCGAAGGAACGTCAAGCGTTTACGGCGCGGCGCTATCCTAATGTACGCGCGGTATGAACGACCTCGCGCGGTGCACGAGGACTACCTGTACCTACCTACCTACCTACCACTAGGCTCGCTATTAAAATATTTTACAGAGAACCGCTGGTTAGCTCGACGTTATAAAAATGACCGTGAAAGTTTGCAATTGCCACGACGGCGCAGTACATAGGATAGGTATGCGTCAGCAGCGAGGCACTGCACAGCTCGCTCAAATACATATCCGCACGCGACCACCACCATGGCGCGCGAGCTATAACATCCTATATAACACGGCTGAATTCGCGTACTGCAGCAGGCGCAGCGATACAAGTGTTATATCAAATTATAGCGCGCCCGTATATAACATAGGAAATTCCTCCTCGCTCATCGCGCAAAAAAACTGGCCGCGCGCTAATGCAGGTATTATTTTTGGCCGCCGCCGCTTCATGCGCTGCAAGTGAAATCACACGATTTTCCATTTTTATATTATTAAAACTTATTTGCTGGCGCGAGTGGCTCTGGCAGTGTGGCGTTAACGCGCCGCGAGCCTCGTACATACACCGAGCTCTCGAGTGACTTTCACCTTCGCGCGTCGACTGCGCGCATATCTGCGGTACTTAAATGTATGTACGTGCCGCGCGGCGCTCTGGACGTGTGCGGCATCCGCGCGACGACGACGACGTCCCCGCGCAAAAGACGCAGCTAATGCAGCAGCGACTTGACTCCGTTCTTTATGCGCTCCGGGGGCAATTATTACAATTACGCTCGGCTTATTCGCTTAATTCGTCGCACGTATTATATATATAACACATATAGAAGCGGCTCGATAATGAGCGCCACTCGCCGCGGATATATCGGGATTGCGCAGCTTTTAATAGGCCTTACGAAATGCAAGTACGTCGAGCGAGCCTCGTGTATTATGCGCTCCGTTTAGATAAAAGCCCCGAGACGAACGAGAGCGAAATTTCTGTGTGCACGCGAAATCGAGCGCGTAATGCGTTGTTCTTGTGTGTGTGTGCAGAGCTAAACTTAATTTAGGCAGGATAAAAACGTGCTGCATAATGTGTGTGTGTACAGACTATACACACAGTCGCGCGCACGGCCTATCTGATGAACCGATCGACGAGAGAGATTCGCTTCGCGAAGCGCGTTAATTTCCCATCGTTCACTTTTTTTTCCTCTTCTAATTTTAGCAGCCGACTGCGAAAAAGCCCCGACAACGCGCGTACACAATGTACCGCTATACTGCAGATGTACCGGAGAAGACAAGATTTTTCGCAAGACTATATCTCTCAAGAGAACGAATAAGTACGGAGCCCGATGTTCAACGAAAAAATGCGACACGAGTTACTTGATTTTAAGCGATCGCGAGTACAGAGCTTACGACACAAATCGCGTAGGAATAAAAAAATGTCGATCGATGAACGGAATAACTATATACTCACTTGGTGACTAGCAGCACGATGGCCTGTTTCTCGAGGGGGCTGCGACGCTCGTGCTCGAGCCAGCGCTTGTAATTGTCGGCCGTGGGCTTGCGCACCAGCTGCTTCAGGCTCTCGCCGCCGAAGAAGCGCATCGACTGCAGCTGCTCCTCCTGACTGGCGGCGACCTTCCTGCCGTTGCGTTGAGTCGGCTGCTGCAGACCGTCGACCGGGGCCAGCACCACCACCGACGAGATCCGCCTGCCCTCGAGCTCGGCCGCGCTCGGTATAGGGAAGCTCGCCCCACTCACCTTCAGGGGCAGGTAGCGGTTGTACTGGGCGTCGTTGCTATTGCTGCTTCCGAGCTGAACGGCGCTCAGTTGGGTGGCGTTCTCCTTCAGCACACCCTCGGCCAGCTTCTGGCCCTGCATCGTGCGCGGGTCGAAGCGCACGACCTTCATCTCGACGCCGCTGGTCGACGCCGCCGTCTCCTGGAGCTCGTCCTCGGCCAGCTTGGGACGCTTGGCCAGTCGTGGCTTGGGCTCGCTCGCTGCACCCGCCGCGCCTCCGGCTCCGTAGAACTGGGCCAGCGCCTCGGGTGGCAGGTCACCGATGTTCACGCCCCCGACCTTGTCGTAGTCCAGGATCTGGATGTCGGCGTTGCCGAGGATGCCCGAGGACAGCAGCTGCTCGCGAATGTCGTCGGGTACCTCGTCGGGCAGTCGCTCGATGTTGGCCTTGATGCGGGCGTCGTGCTTCGGCGAGCTCGTCGTCGTCAGGACCGCAGGTGCTGCCGTGGTGGCGGCTGCCGTGGTGTAAGGTCTGGGCGTCGTTGTGGGCGATGGGCTCGTGGGATACTGGATCTTCGTCACTGGAGTGGCGAAGATTTTCTCGTTCGAGTTTCGGAAAATGGGCTGTCTACCCCAGATCGACGAGATGGCGTTGTTCTGGGCTTGTGGCTGTGGCTGGGGCTGGGCCTGTTGCAGCGACAACTGTTGTTGCTGCTGGTACTGGATCTCTTGTTGAGGCCTCAACTGCTGTGGCGATGGTAAATTTTTCAAGAAAAATTGCTGACTATCTTGTGGCGTCGATGGCTGCCTCGTGTACTGCAATTGGTGCTGCTGTTGCTGGTTTTGTTGGTATTGCTGCTGTTGCTGTTGATGGTGTTGCTGCTGCTGATGTTGTTGCTGCTGCTGCTGTTGCTGCTGTTGATGGTGCTGTTGTTGTTGGTGCTGCTGCTGTTGATGATGTTGCTGTTGCTGATGTTGCTGTTGCTGATGTTGTTGCTGTTGCTGCTGTCTCTGCTGATGACTTTGTACCTGTTGCTGCTGTTGTTGGCTCTGCTGTTGTTGATGCTGTCGGTTCTGATGGTTCTGCAGCTGCTGTTGCTGTTGCTGACTTTGTTGCTGTTGCTGTTGTTGCAATTGTTGCTGCTGAATGTGCTGTTGTTTCAACAGCTGATGTTTAGCTGGACCTACTTTTACATTTTGACTTTGAACGGGTAACTGTGGCTGAGCTTGATGCACCAGATTGGATTGCTGGGAGTATTGATGGGAAGCAGCGTTGAAAGAAGCCGAAGGAATATCGGCATACTGAGGGTTTGGTGGGAAGGGCCCCGGGTGCAGGGGATTTTCCCTGATGGCGTAGTGCTGCTCCAGTTTCGGAATCGAGCGAAGAATCTCTCCACCTACTTGTTGGGGCTGCTGCTGAGCGACCTGCGGTTGTTGCTGCTGCTGTTTTTGGCCTTGCTGGACGTACTTGAAGTGCTGCTGTTGATACTGCTGGTGCTGGAACTGCTGCTGCTGAAGACGGTTCTGGTCTTGCTCGTGTTGATAGTGTAGCTGACGCTTCTGGTCCTGCTCCTGCTTGCGTCTCTGCTGCTCCTGAATGCGCGCCTGCTCCTGCTGACGCTTCTGCTCGGCCAGGCGCTGCTGCTGCTCGAAGTAGCGCTGCTTGTCCTGCTGCTGCTGACGCTGCTTTATCTGTCCGGCCTGGGGATCGAAGTTGAAGCCCACCGGGGCCGGGTGCGGCAGTTGCTGCTGGTGCACGTAGTTCTGCAGCTGTACATTTTGATGGGACAGTCCGCCGGGCTGCGGTCGGTTCACGAACGGCTGACGCTGCTGGTGCTCAGGCAGTCCCTGGATGGGCGAAGGAGCCGGACGAGAGGGTCTGGCGATCGGGGCGATCGGCGAGAGCGGGGAAACGGGACGTTGTGAAAGCAGCGGCTGCTGCTGGTGCAGCTGAGGCTGAAGAGCGAAGTTGGGCTGGGGCGCTTGAACGATGGGTCCCAGGGGCTGCGAGAAGGCCGGTCGCTGCGACGCTCCCGACTGCACGGGGGCGAAGGGACCGTGTTGCCGACGGGGCGAGGAGACCTGGTCGCTCCTCTTGTTGTGCTGATTCGGTGGCAGCTGGTCGTTGCCGAAGGTGACCCTGAGACCGCTACCCGTCGGGGCGTGGTAGGTCTCGCTGTCGGGCCTGATGATGGCTCTCAGGGTGGTCGTGGAGACCGGAGGGGCGGGCGTCACCGGGACCACCGGGGCTGGGGCCGCGGGCTCGTCCGGGTGCAGCTCCTCGTGCTCCTCGACGGGCACGAGGGCCGGCACCGGCGTATCGTAGACTACCCTCGGGTGCTCCTCGCCGTGCTCCTGCTTCTTCTCGTACTTGACGTAGAACACCTGGATGGGCTCCTTCTTGGGTTTACTTGGCGCAGGCAGATGGATCGGTGGCTGGGGTGGCAGAGTCTCGTTCGACTCCTTGATGATGATCTCGATGATGGGCTCGGGCTCGGTCGGGTAGTAGTTGTAGGGCGAGTCCTCGTAGTACTGGGGCACGTCGCTCTTCGACTCGGCCAGCGGATTGTAGAGGGGGTCGCGCGGCGAGTAGTGGGCGATCGGCTCCATCTGCACGGCGTAGGGCGGCGGGCGTCCGGAGCGTCGCGTCTGGAAGCCCAGGTGGTGCTGGCGCTTCTTGCGGGCTGCTGCATCGCCGTCGGTCGTCTTGGCCAGGGCCAGGGCGCTAATGGCGCACACCAGCAACACCGTCTACATGCATCGGAGAGAGAAAAGAAAAGAAAAAAAAATAGAAAAAAACAGTTCGGTTTAGCGACGAGTATAAATTTGCCATATATGATTCTACGCGAGCTGAGTTGCAGCTGAAATAAGCATTAAATTCTACAAATAGGTAAAAAGCTTAGAGAGGATACAAAATCCATAAATTTTGATTGACGCGCGGAGAAACGTGAAAGCCAGTAACGAAAATCGTTTTGCTCCATCCGCAACAAGATCGTCTATAAGTTATACACTCACACTTGTTCAGGTTGAGCTCGTTCACCTTTTGAAAAACAAAAAGAAGCGGACACAAAAAAAAAAGCATTACCGAGTCGGTGCTTCCGCACGAGCTCGCGAGCGAGTGGATCAGGATTATTTGCCCGTAGTAGTAGTAGTACTACTACTACCATATTATCTGCACCCGTGTGGCGTCCATGCGTATAGATACACACATATAGATATAAAAACACATAACGAGTTCGCCAGGCGCTTGCTATCAAGCTCGTATAGATATATAGCGCGAAGCGAGAGAAAAGAGCAAAAGCAGCGGCAGCAGCAGCGGCAGCAGTAGCAGCAGGAGCGATCGGTAACCGAGTGACCCGATTCTCCGCACGTGCACACTTATAAACACACACACACACATACAAACACATGCAGGCCGGAGGTTTTGGCATTCCGCGCAGCATCATCGGCCGCATCGTCCTCGCTCGTTTATACGCTCTTTATTATCCCATGGGCCATCGTCAGGTGCTCCCATGCCGATCTCCGCGTACGCAAGTACGTATGCATACATTTACGTGCATTCGCATGAATGCGATTCTTCGCATACATACTGCATTGCATACAGACAGACAGACGCACACACGTACGTACGTACACACCACGACAAAGTATATTACGGCTGCGGAGAGAAAATCTCGAGTGAGAGTCGAGGCGATGTTCTCGCGGACGTTCTCTTTGATTGGTTCGAAGATGTTCCGGGTATATACGCGCGCTTAATGTATGTATACGTGTGGATGTGCAGCAGCAGCAGCAACCGGTCGTCATTCGCGATATTCTGCCCGTGGCGCGCATCGCCAGTCGAAGTTAGGTAATGCTCAAAGACGACGACGATGCGCCTCGGCGTCTTTTTTTTTATCTCGTTTTTTTTTTCTTTCGTGCCCGCTAATTGCACTGGCTCGCGCGTTAACAGTCGCATGGACCTTTCTAAAATATCGCATCGCTTTTTTATCTTTCTTTTTCTTTTGCTCATTTTTCTTCTTCTTTTTTTTTATTTACAAAAAACGGATTAAATATTTGGATGACCGTCGATGGTCGCACGCGATACTTTCACAATTACAAATACAAATATTTCTTGGCTACTGCAATCAATTTTATTTATTAACGCTGATTTGTTTCGATCTTCTTAAACAGTCAAATGAATACCTAATATATTCATGAGCTATAATGAGCGTAAGTCACCGTATAGTTTCAGGCAACAATTTGATCAATGAGTTGAAGATACATTCTTTCGTCTGTTTTTTTTTATTTTTTTTTTTTCGTGTTGAAAAATTACGAAATAAGTTTATCGATTGGTCAATTTATCCGAGAGATAAAACTTTTCGATCAATTCGGATAGATCCCGAACGAAAACTTGAGCTTTTAATCTCATGTCAGCTCGTTTAGCTAAATACGATTATGAGCATGTCTCGATGAAACATTATGCAAATTTTACATCCAGCATATATCGTTTTATTGGCTATGTCGTATGGAAATATCATTTAAATTATTCAGCTACCTGTTAAAGCCTGAGAGTCTATGCGAAAGCTGAGTCAAGCGGAAGAAGTATTGGTAACATTAGGCCATATTAGCATCAGACTATTTTTTTAAGCTTTAATGGAACAAAATTGTTATAGGAAAAGCGAAGAAACAAGTATGCTTGGCGCATAACGGCACGGGATGCGCATGAAAATTCTATTTCAGAAATGGTCAGCGAAAAACCGTTTGCCAATTCAATATTTGTCTAAAGCGAGGCTCAACCCGTTAGATTTGGCACAAGACCATCCGATCGAATTGAGAGTTTGCAAGCGTGCAAAACGATTTTCCAAATAGGCACAACGTTTGCTCGTGGGCGAGTCTCCTCGATTTACTCGGATCCGAATCGGTAATGAGTTCATTACATTTAAACGGTTACAGGGTGCATGATTTTGCAATTTTTTTTAATGCTCATGTCAAAATTTTTAAGATAACAAAATGTATTTCGAATTTTATTTTTAAATATTTTTCTACAGAAACAATTATATTAAATGGCCCATTTATACAGGAATCTTTAACGCGTTTCGCAAGGTTAATCGGATTGATAACCATTAAGTGCGTCGAGTGTTTCAATGAATTTATAATTCACATACATTATTCGAAAAAGTAACGAGCGCACTAAAATGAAACAAGTATTTAAAAAATTAAAAAAAAAAAGAAGGACTATTATCGAATAATTTTTGTAAAATAAGTAATTCGATTGTTTTTTTATGATTTTTCGTAAAATATTCTCCAAAACGATTCACCTTCAAGTAAAATTAAATGAAAAAAAACTTGCCTATGCTCCTGAATTTCACGCGCATCTCGAATCAAGTTCGTGCAGCATATTCTAATCAGGGTAATTCACGATTCACGCGGTGCTTTTGAAAAGCAATAAAGGCTCTTCGCACTAACGCGAGAACATTAGCCGATTTCTTTTTTTCTATTCTAATAAGCGAGTTTTCGTGAAGGCGATTAGTCGTCCTTTAAGAAATATGTGTTTACCAATTTGAGATACTGCATGGCTCTGACACTTTGGTTCTTCCTCGGTCACTGAATTTCTCGAACGCACCGAACGAAAGGTCCTGCGCTGCGGTCTTTCGGGATACTTCGCAGCGAGCGGGAAAAAAAAGGAAAATCTGCACCTCCGTCGTCGATGATCGATCGAACGAAGTCAAACCGTCATGTCGTACGGTAAACGGAAGAAAAAAGGCACTCGCGCACTCGCGATATACCCTCCTTGGGCGATGCGATCTCTTGTATCCGCAATTACACTGTCGGGGCAGTATAGGTCGTCGTCGTCATGCAGAGAGAACTGCACCCGCTCGCACAGCTCTTCCTTCTTATCGCGAAAAAGTACGCGAACGAATAAAAAAAAAAAAAAAAAAACTCTCAAGACCCGGTGCACATATGAAAATTGCCTACGCACTATGCACAGACACACACCGCGTGCTTACACCTGGTGCTCGATCGGGAGCCGTGACTGTTCTGCGCGTAGATGTGCGCTTCCTTCGCGAGCAGAATTATATTTCAGAGATCCACCAAAAGTCCCTCACTCTAATATCAGCGCGGGAACGGCTATGAAGTGGTAGTATACAGCAGCAGCAGAAGCGGAGGCACCGGAGGTAGAAGGGAGATTCCCGCGCGGCCACAGGGAGCTTATAACACACACACACACAGCGCGCGCGAGAGAGAGGAAGATGTTTCGGGTTCTTTTCCTCCACCTCCTCCTGCTCTTTAGCGATCATCGTCGCCTTTCTCTCCTCTATATATATAAAGTATACATGTGAACGTGTGTGCGTGTGCAAAAGCCAAGTACGTGTGTGTGTAAGTACTCACCAGGTGTATACGCGCGTGAATACGGGCTATATATAAAATGTGCGGATTACAATTTTTGTATACGGCTCGCGCCGCCCGCGATACAAGGTGACAGTCCCGCGCCTCGCACGCCGGCTTATTCTCACACACACACGCATACGCACACGAGCGATCGAAGATACATATCTGCACTTTGCTTACGTGTAATTTATGAAAGTTGCAGTTGAATTTTTGCGGATCATCGAGAGCGCGGCGGCGGCGGCGGCTCATCTTTTATAGCGCGTACATACTAGGATACTTGTATACGCGAGTCCTCCTCGCTAGAGAGAGAGCAAGAGTTCGAGTCCAGAGCGCAAATAGCGCGTACACATACATTCATACATACATACATACATACATATACAGTTGACGCGCGTGCACCGCACGATAGAAAGTGAAACTTTGAACTTGTCTCTCGGTTGAGGCTGTGACGCGCATGCAGCTTCGTATATAATACGAGAGTGCAGCAGCACTGCCTCGCTCCAACGGTTTATATCTTTCTCTCTCGCGGCTATAATCGCGAGCTGTACCAATTTCGATTTTGTATTATATACGACCTCGCTCGACTCCAAGGTACTATTTCCCATACGTCTATATGTAGGACTTTGCGAGTCCGATTTATAATAGACTGTGTACCGAAGGTTCGAAGTCGAGTTGCGAGAGCGATTGCGACGAATGCAGTTCAAGTTCAAGTATACCAAGCGTCGCTCATTCAGTCTCGAGTTCGTGTGTGTGTGTGTGTGTGTGTGCGAGCGCGTCGAGATTATCGAACGTGAGTTAAAGCTAGGTGCACGCGTCAGAGCGAAAAAGTGGATCATAGACGTTGAGCGCCAAGGATTAAGATAAAAAGAAAAAAAATTGGATGGATAATAATTACACGGTAGCTCTCGGTGCGCTGGAGAACTCAGGCGGCCAGCTCAGGTGAAATTGCACTCCGCGAGCTCGAGCTACGTCTCGACTCGAGAAACTACGGAATCACTCGAATTACCGATCGCCGTCGATGCCGAGGAGGCCGCCGCGGGCGCCTTTTTTCCATTAAAAGCACGTGCTATATAACATCGCGTATAATAATATAATATGTTCGCGATCGATCAAGGTGCTCAGCGCAGCGGTAAATCAAAATTCGCAAACTGCACCGGATGATCGCTGTAATAATTCCACGTCTTTCGCGGTGCATTTTTCCTATATTTATATTTATAGTATGTATCGGGCTTTTCTTTATGCGGGAAAATAAAAACTACGTATATATGAATGCTATACATGTGTATAGGCCAGCAGCGGCAGCGCGTTGCAATTGAAAAAGAGAGAAAAAGGAGACGCGCATTGAATAGCAATGAGCGAAAGAGCCGCCAAGCTCTCTAGTT